TGGCAATGGTGGCACTGTACAGAGCTAGTTGGTCGAGGTTTTTGTTGTACAAAAGCAGGTGGGTAAGGGGGTAGTTGTTGTGGTGGCGGTGTGGTGTTGGGGTAGGGGCTGTTCCCCCCTACGGGTTGGATAACTGTCTTGATGGGTGTCGGTTTTTGTTGTCTGCGGGCATCCAAGTACTCATCCGCCTTTTTAGCTGCTTCTGTGAGGGACTTTGGATTGCGGTCTCTCACCCATTCCTGTAAATCATTCTGGATGCCCTCATAGAATTGCTCTAATAGTAACATCTGTAAGAAGTCCTCCATGGACCGAGCCTTATTGGACTGTACCCATCCAAGAGCGGCCCGATGTAGCTTGCAAGCCCATTCCACATGAGAGTCCTTGTCATTCTTTTTCAACTCTCTAAATCGCCGCCGATATGCCTCTGGCGTGATAGCATACCGGGCCAATTTCACCTCCTTTACCCTGTGGTAATCCCGAATTTCCTCAACTGGTACAGTTCTATACACCTCAGCAGCCTTTCCAGTGAGCTTCCCTGCCAAAATAGGTACCGACTCCTCTGGACTAATATTATGCAGTGCACACAGTCTCTCAAAATCCTGGAGAAAATAATCTATGTCCTCCTCTGCTTCTACATATGTTTTAAATGCTTGGTAAGGTATTTTTGCCTTACCCTGTGTGAAGGTAGCTGTCGTAGCATTCCTCTCCACATTTTGTAGTGGCCTTTGGCGTAGTATAAACTCCTGCACCTCTGTCATTGTCCTGGATATAATATCCGCCGTTGGATTCTCTCCATAAAAGGACAGCCTAAACTGCAGCTGTCTTTGGAACTCTTCTTGTTCAGATCCATCTGCTGAACTCCGCTGCTCAGGGATTGCCCTGTCCTCATTTTGATATTCTGCCATCACCTCTGCAATGTGGGTTGCTTTTCTTTTGTTGCTTGCTGCAATACCTTTTGCTTCTAGGAGATCTTTTAGCGTGGATCTTTTTAGCTTCGCATAATCACTCTCCATCCGTATTCCATTAGTCCTTGTTCCCTTGTGAGTCTGGATCCCAGCGCTGCCAACCAATGTAGCGGAGAGCTAGTATTTCATAGCCTATCTCCACTTGTAAATCCCAGTGAGGCTCAGGAACAAGTAATTATAAATCCATATGGTAAAGTATCCAGCAGGCAAAACAATACAGCAATATCCCAACAACACTCCCAATAACTGGACGACACACAGTATCAGGAGCAGAACTAAAGATTTATTTAGAGCAGCTCCTTATAAAGGATTCTCCCATGCAAGTAATTACAGTAATTACAACAGTAACCAATGATACAGAGGTTTCCTCCCCTGCTTTCCCTCCCCTCAGAGTGACATTTAATCCACTTAATCCTGGCACCTTTTCCCCTGTTTCTTGGATGTACCCTAAAACCATGGGGTACCAGGACTTAAGTGGCATCCCCTGGTAGCCCTGGTCTGAGTGACCAACATACTCAAAATTCACCCAGATCAGACAAGGGGTTCGGGAGTTACAGGTATTAAACGATTTGACCGACCGCACACGAACATGTAGCCGAAAGGAGTTCCATGCATTCTGGCCCTGCGGTCGGTCTTCGTTCGGGAGATGAACTAGGCGTAAATCATTGACATCCATAGCAAATACTGGGTTCGCATGAACCCCCTTGTTCGGTAGATTGAACTCACCGAACGGGGAGTCGATTGGCCCCTCCGTTCGGTAGTTCTGGAGCTCTGGAGGTCTCAGCGGTAATTGAGTGTCCGATTTGAGTTCCAGACACTCGGTGACCAAACACCGCTGAGAGTTTGTGCGTAAGATGGCCGCCGCCACGTGTTCGTCTACCGAATGGCGGCCACCCAGATACATCAATAAAACCTCAATTAGCTACGGTTACAAAGGGAATAAAGGTTTAACGAGGGACACACTTCAGCTCTAAGATGGTCTATGTATTCGGTAATTTCCATTCGCATAACTATGAAGGAAACTACCGAACTAACATACGAACTTAGATGCAATTTTCACTATACATTCAGTTAAAACAGGCGAACAGTCTTTTAAAACATAATTCTGGTGGATAGTCACCGGCCATCTGCTACACCCACCATGTAAACATTGTCAGTGCAGGTGAAAAAAGTATGTGAACCCCTAGACTAATGACATCAGCCAACCGGAGTCCAATCAATGAGTCGAGATTGGAGGTGTTGGTTACAGCTGCCCTATAAAAAACACACACCAGTTCTGGGTTTGCTTTTCACAAGAAGCATTGCCTGATGTGAATGATGCCTTTCACAAAAGAGCTCTCAAAAGATCTACGATTAAGAATTGTTGACTTGCATGAAGCTGGAAAGGGTTATAAAAGTATCTCCAAAAGCCTTGCTCTTCATCCGTCCACGGTAAGACAAATTGTCTATAAATGGAGAAAGTTCAGCACTGCTGCTACTCTCCCTAGGAGTGGCCGTCCTGTAAAGATGACTGCAAGAGCACAGCGCAGACTGCTCAATGAGGTGAAGAAGAATCCTAGAGTGTCAGCTAAAGACTTCCAAAAGTCACTGGCAAATGCTAACATCCCTGTTAGCGAATCTACAATACGTAAAACACTAAACAAGAATGGATTTCATGGGAGGATACCACAGAGGAAATCACTGCTGTCCAAACAAAACATTTCTGCATGTTTATAGTTTGCACAAGAGCACCTGGATGTTCCACAGCAGTACTGGCAAAATATTCTGTGGACAGATGAAACCAAAGTTGAGTTGTTTGGAAGAAATACACAACACTATGTGTGGCGAAAAAAAGGCACAGCACACCAACATCAAAACTTCATCCCAACTGTGAGGTATGGTGTTGGGGGCATCATGGTTTGGGGCTGGTTTGGGGCTGGTTTGGGGCTGCTTTGCTGCGTCAGGGCCTGGACGGATTGCTATCATCAAAGGAAAAATGAATTCCCAAGTTTATCAAGACATTTTGCAGGAGAACTTAAGGCCATCTGTCTACCAGCTGTAGCTCAACAGAAGATGGGTGTTGCAACAGGGCAATGACCCAAATCATAGAAGTAAATCAACAACAGAATGGCTTAAACAGAAGAAAATACGCCTTCTGAAGTGGCCCAGTCAGAGTCCTGACCTCAACCCGATTGAGATGCTGTGGCATGATCCCCAACCAAGCTGCGGCGGTTCGTGGGGTCTGCAGTGGTTATGGTGTCAGGCAGAGTGCTTGGAGTCCTCGGAAAGCACTAGGAGCATCCGTCGGCGGAAGGTACCCGGTCGGGGTGCCAGCGGTTCCGTCACACTATGTAACACTCACTGACAGATACACACTCTCACTGACAGACATGTAGACTCACTGATTTTACACACACTCACTGAGAGACACACTGGCACAAGCTCTCAATGACAGTCACACAATGTCACAGATTAGAAACAGATAAGTAGTAGTGTTGCTCACTGGTATCAGTAGCACTGGAGCTCTGTGATAGAGGTCCGCTAACCTCCAAATATATCCAGTAGTGAAGAGCCACAGGCTACACAGCATTTGGTGAACAAGGCAGTTTTATTGTGGAACGCAGGATAAAACAAGGATACAGCGTTTTGGCCACAAGAGTTTATTCACGGCAGCAAAAGTCTTTCCTTTTTTTGTCCTGCATTCCACAATAAAACTGCCTTGTTCACCCTATGCTCTTCACTTACTAACAGAAACACACACAGAAACACACATAGACACTCTCAATTACAGACACACTATCACTGATTTGAAACACACTGACAGACACACACTCAGTTGCCCTGGGGTCTAGTGGCTCCTGTACTCACCCAGTTGCTCAGTACCTTGCGTGTTGTTTAGTGGGGATGGAGTGATGTCATATTCCGACAACTTGCACCACAGTAGCGCACGAGGGAGCAGTGAGGAACTGGAAGAACATCAGTGCTCCCTCGCTGCCGCCTTCATCCTTTCTTCCTCCAGTATATTTCGGCAGAGTGCCTATTTTGCCTTAGTGAATAAGTGCCCCCTTCCTAGGTCCTCTGTGATAGGCCATGCACCTGGGCTCTCAGAACCCTGTTTCCACCTCCAGGTGCACCTGAGTCGTGATTGCAAGAACTTGCTGTTAATCTGCAATTGAGTTCCTCTCTAAACTGGCTCAGCTCATTAATCGGAAGACGGTGTCACGATACCTTACACTCGTCCTGCGTGCCCGGTCGCTCCATACACGCCCCATTTTATGGCGCAGCTCATGTTCATGTGTGCCAATGTCAGATAGGCGATGCAGCTAATATTCAAAGTATCCCACGCTCCCTGGCGTTTTGGGGGAGTGAATTTAAAGCAAAAGACGCTCCCATATAAAAGAGCGCCTTTTGCTTTAGTTCAGTGCCCTATTGTGGTTCACTGGTTGCTTCCTCTAGTGCTATAATGCTTCCTGACTCTGTGATTTGGTATTTGACTTGGCTTGTATATTTTGACTAATCTGTTTTCTGGTATCCTGACTCGGCTTGCTTTTCTCGTTTATCCTGGTTTCTGGTTCCTCATCGTTATTCTGATGACTGGCTATTCCTTGCCTGTTCGCTTCTTATCCTTGTTAAATCCGGCCATTTTAATATCCGGTAATACGTTTTCTAATTTTATGGTTACATTCTGCATGTTGGGGTCACTTTGTTGTGACAGACGGTGTCTACTGTGGGCATGTGGGATCCTTCTCGTGTATGAGTACAGCACTGATATGACTCAAGGCAGCGCCAGTTGTCAAAGAAGATCTGCAGGAAGATAATGGTGGTGGCGGCCAGTGACAGCTTCAGGTAAGTATACCTACCTTGCACTGCACCCCACGGCCACCATCCCCTAAACGGAGCAGGTCCTTGAAAAATATGCAAAGGCCCCCAAAAGTGACTCATCCTTTTTAATCAGAAAAGTATGGAAAACATTTCCAATTTGCTCCAGTTGCTAGCAATTTCAATGGCATAGTGTAAATACTAGATCTGTACTTATTACCCGAATTTATGGATGGTTAGTTCCTTTTAATATCCTAGAAAAAACAAGTGACGTAGAATTGTAGCTGACAAGTAGAAAAAAAAAATCCCTACTAGCTATTGAGCAATCTTGTTCTGTGCTTCCACTCTGTGAACCTTTCTTAGTTTCACTCTCAGTCCTAAATCCTATAGCATGGCTTGGCTTTCAATCCTTACCCTGCCCACAAAACCATTGCTTTCTTCCGGGACTTTCCTAACTCAAAACTGAACAAATCGCCCACAACGCATGCAACCGGACTTTAAAAATGTCCTGGTATCGTCTGTAGGCGGAACACTCCCAGCTATGAAAGGGGTGGAAATGAAGTTTTGGAGAGGGTGGGGGCTCAGGTATACCCATTTATTTATGTGTGGGCAAACTTGAAGATAACATGTTTGCAGAAATCGTATTCTATGCAGGGAAGCATACATGTTTATGAATTAATATGGAAGCGTGCACTGTTATGCCCGGAGAGGAATGCCTTACCAGCTATCCATCAAGCACACGAACTGCGCTAGATAAAGGAATAAGAAGGCTTCAGTGGACTGTCACCTGCTGTCTCATTGGGCTAGTTATCCTTTCATTGTTCTCTGTTTATCAGATGATTGCCGGATATCAGGAACATTCCAAAGATAAGGTAACAGTCACGTATGTTTTTACCTTATAAATACGCGCAGAAGTGTATGGAAGGTTCATGTTCTGCATGCTTCTAATACTGTATTTCAGTCTTGTGAAACTGGCAAAGTGGATGGGATTTGTCTCAGTGTTATTGCATCCAAATTCTTGACTTCATTTTAAAGCAAATAACAGAGTGCCGCACAATTTAATACCTGCAAAACGATGTTCATTCCCAGTTACTTTTTTTTTCCATTGGATTTGCATATATAATTTTAATATTGTATTCTTCTGGGCAGGTTAATTTATAAATCTGATCAGATTGTACATCAAGTCAGCAACTTTAATTTTCAGTTATTAAACACATATTTGGCTGGCATTTCTTCAGATGGTATCAGTACATCTCAAGGCTGCTTGTCACAAAACATCGTCCAAATAGGTCCTGTCTTAGAACAAGGTGTTAAATCCTTGATCTGAGCATCATTTGCACATTTGTCTTATACACAGTATACCTAGTGCCACATGTTGAGAACTAAAGAGCCTGTTCACCCAAAAAAAACACGAAAAAAAAACCTTTGTCAACAAATTACTAATTAATGCAAAATAGAGTATCACTGAGTGAAAACTGAAACATTTAAAAGTAGAGCACTATATATCTTACCTGATTGGGGTTTATTCTCATTACACGCAAACAGAAAGAATATATACAGTGTAAGTGCAATATTGCTTGTGTACAAAATAGTGCAAAAATGTGATTGTGAGATGGTACACTCACATTTTTAGAGCCTAAATGAGATTGCCTCAAATTGTCTGAGCATCTGTATCTTTAAGACAGCACAACATCTCTCTCATTGAATATGATGTTGTACATTTTCCCAAAAAAAGGAATAAAATTGAATAGTGGAATATGTTGTACTTTATTTGAAAACAATAATGGGTATACAAGAATTGCTCACCTTATACAGAGCATTTTAGTTACCAGGCTCTGAGTCAAATAAGCGTGGCACTACCCTTCTTCAACCAGACTGGTGATACAGACAAATAAATGTTTAAAAAAAAAAAAATCAATGTAGACAAATATAAAAACAAATGTCCTACAGTAGAGTCATTATCCGAGATGCGAATATCGATGAACAATTATGAACTAAACTCAAGAGAATATTGATTTTCAGGTGATTTGGGTTAAGCTGATGCAATTGATAGCTTGTTTGCTAATACACAAATATTGAGAAATATTAACTTGAAGATAAAATAGTCAAATTGTACTAACCCTAAAAATATGCTTAATATTGAATGGATTTTGATTGGATCTGTGAATGACCCTTCCATCTCGCCCCATGGCATATGTGCCACTGGTCTTGATTCAAGCTGTGTAGTCAAGATTTTGAAGGATTCTCCCATTCATTTTTTTTCTCTTATTACCCACTTCTGGAGACAATTTCTTGAGAGATAAAGGGAAGTGCAAAATCATGTTTTTACAGGTCTCTGCCCATGTCACTCCTCTTGAGTCGCTTTGTTTAGAAGCATTGTCATCCTGGCACACATGACTGAGAGGATAATGCGTTCCTATTTATTGTGTCCTATAATTTCATTTGATAAAGACAATAGTACTTGAGACAGGTTGATCAGTTGACAAGGTTTGGAATCAGCTGCAACCACTAATAAAATTTGCTTTGTTTGTTGCATGTGGTGTTTGTGAGTGTATCAGATCATATTTTCATTATTATTATCATATATTCTCATAATAATAAACAGTGTATATAAGGGAAACACAGAATGTCTATGTGTATATAAGGGAAACCCAGAATGTAATTCAATAAATATTACATGAATGTGTTTTGTGTATGAGTATGTCCTCCACACAATATACTTTACAAAAAGGAGCAGTGTGTCAATATCACAGAACTTCACAGCAACAAAATCCACACAGGGTTATTCACTAAAGTGAGAATTCACAGTGAATTTCAAATTTAAGGCCAAAGTATCTGAAGTGGAAACATACCTGAATTAAATAAGATTGGCTACTTTGGCATTATATTTGAAATCCACTTTCAATTCTAACTTTATTGAATAACTTTGTTAGTAACATGGTTCACGTGAATGTATCACAAATTCACTAGCAAAACATAGAAACATAGAAACATAGAATGTGACGGCAGATAAGAACCATTCGGCCCATCTAGTCTGCCCAATTTTCTAAATACTTTCATTAGTCCCTGGCCTTATCTTATAGTTAGGATAGCCTTATGCCTATCCCACGCATGCTTAAACTCCTTTACTGTGTTAACCTCTACCACTTCAGCTGGAAGGCTATTCCATGCATCCACTACCCTCTCAGTAAAGTAATACTTCCTGATATTATTTTTAAACCTTTGTCCCTCTAATTTAAGACTATGTCCTCTTGTTGTGGTAGTTTTTCTTCTTTTAAATATAGTCTCCTCCTTTACTGTGTTGATTCCCTTTATATATTTAAATGTTTCTATCATATCCCCCCTGTCTCGTCTTTCCTCCAAGCTATACATGTTAAGATCAACTTACAGAAACGTGCACTGTATGATTGTATACAATAGACAGCTCCACAAGTACAGGAATCCAACTAGTGTGTTTGCAGAAGTGTAGAATTCCAGATTTCCACAACATTAAACTTACAATCAAATAAAAAAAGGAATTATCTTAAAGGGACACTATAGTCACCCAGACGACTTCAACTCAATGAAGTGGTCTGGGTGCCAGGTCCCTCAGGTTTTAACCCTTCACATGTAAACATAGCAGTTTCAGAGAAACTGCTATGTTTACATTTGCGGTTAATCCAGCCTCTAGTGACTGTCTTCCGGACAGCCACTAGAGGCGCATTTGCGATGCTGGAGGCGAATTTCGCCTCCATCACTCAGAGCGTCCATAGGAAAGCACTGAGAAATGCTTTCCTATGGACACTTTGAATGCCGCGCATGCGGCTCCAGTGACGTCGGACGGGAGAGCTGCCGTCGGACAATGAGGAGAGTTCCCGGCGCTGGAATAAGGTAAGCTGATGAAAGGGTTTTAACCCCTTCAGCGCCACGGGAGGCACCCTCAGGGCACTATAGTGTCAGGAAAACCGCTTTGTTTTCCTGACACTATAGTGATACTTTAAAGTAACATTCCTAGCACTATAATCACTACAGTGCACTGACTCCAGGTTGACCTGCCATTAACTCGGCAGGCACGCCCTTTTGGGATGGAGATAGTGACACAACTTTCAGGCTGCAGAGTTTGGAGTTATGTAAATGGATGCATAGTTGAGTTAAAGGACCACTATAGTGCCCTGCTATGTTTAGAAAAAAAAGGGTTAACCCTAGATGGACCAGGCACCCAGACAACTTCATTAAGCTGAAGTGGTCTGGGTGCCTAGAGTGGTCCTTTAAAGATTTTTTCCAGTTTGGCTATTTTGACCTTACATCTCAATTATTCACTCAGACACACCAACAATATGGCGCTCCTAGATAAGAGGGACATTGGGATAGGAAAGAGAGACACAGTGATTTAGGCCCAAAATAGGGACTGTCCCTGCTAAACAGGGACACCTGGAAGGTATGCTGATTTGTAATTTTTTTTTTTTTTTTCTTTAATAGACAGACATAGAGATTTTTGATTAGGAGTAGCAATAGTTTCAGTGTTTCAGTGCCAGTGCTTGATTGTGCATTTCAGATTGTAGCTGCGGTCTTTTTTTGTTCCCAACCGTTTGAAGAAAGAAAATCCTTTTTTTTAAATTTATTTTATATTTTTATTGTTCATTCAAAAAGTAACAAGACATTGTATATGCACCAGTTGGTTCCAATTTCCAAAAAGATGTTATGGTGATTGAAATGGCACAAACGCAGCACTAACTAACCAGCCCAGTTTCATGTGTTTTGGCTGTTGGAGGGGGGCTGGTTGACCTTTGGTGACCTTTATTTAATCGCTAATTATCTTAATAGTAAAAGCAGCACAAATCTTAATTTTTAAAGCACAAACGTAGCACTAACGAAACACATTAGATTTTTTTTATTTGTGCTGATTGTAGGGGGGCCAGCTTCACACAGCCTCACTTGGAGTATTGTACGTAGTACTGGAAATTGTCTCCAAAAGGGTATTGATACTTTGGAGAGAATTTGGAAAAGGTCTACTAAACTAGATCATGGATTGCAGTAGGAAACTTAGCAGGAAAGGTTAAAGGATCTTGACATGTAAAATTTGGAGGAAAGACAAGAGATAGAAACATTTAAATACATAAAGGTAATCAACACAGTAAAGAAGGACAGTATATTTAAATGTAAAAAAAAAACTACCACAAGAGGACATAGTCTTAAATTATAGGGGCAACGGTTTAAAGAACCACTCTAGGCATCCAGACCACTTCAGCTTAATGAAGTGGTCTGTGTGCCTGGTCCAGCTAGGGTTAACCCATTTTTTATAAACATAGCAGTTTCAGAGAAACTGAAATGGGTTTATAAATGGGTTAATCCAGCCTCTAAAGCCTCTAAAGCCTCTAGTGGCTGTCTCATTGACAACCGCTAGAGGCGTTTGCGTGCTTCTCACTGTGAAAATCATTATGAATGCTTTCCTATGAGACTGGCTGAATGCGCGCTCAGCTCCTGCCGCGCATGCACATTCAGCCGAAGAGGAGGAGGAGAGCTCCCCACCCGGCGCTAGGGAAAGGTGAGTGTTTAACCCCTTCCTCTCCCCAAAGCCCTGAGGGTGCCCCCAACGAGTATGTTTTCCTGGCACTATAGTGGTCCTTTAAAAATAATATCAGGAAGTATTACTTTACTGAGAAAGTAATAGATACATGGAATAACCTTCCAGCTGAAGTGGTAGTGGTTAACACACTGAAGGAGTTTAAGCATGCATGGGATAGGCATAAAGCTATCATATATATAAGATAATGCCAGGGACTAATGGAAGTATTTAGAAAATTGGGCAGACTTGATGGGCCGAATGGTTCTTATCATCCATCACATTCTACATTTCCAATGTTTCGCCCTGCCTAGCCGAGTGTGCAGTGTCGTTATGCCTGATACTTCATACTACAGATTATAACGTACTGTGTTTTTTTCACACTGAATGGTCACTCACGCTATTGGCTAGATGTGCGTCAGCTTTGCTCTTCTCAGGGTGAATGGGGTGAGTGAATCATCAATTGCAAAGTTCTCTCACTTACTATTTTTTTTTAAATTCAAATATAATGATAGAATTTTGACCGCTCAGAATTGGTATTGCAAAAATGGCTAATATTGCAAAGCAATTGTAGCCGTTTTTGCATTACAGTAAATTTTGAAGCACCTTTCCTTGTTCTTTATTTCCCCTTGGAATGGCATTCCAATCTATTTTGCATGGAAATTTGTCCGCGCTGAACAGATTTATGAACGACTTTCAGACGCTCTGAACAAATGATTTATTTATTATTATTTTTTTATTCTCTATTTTTGCTCATAATACATAGCTCATAATACATAGCAAGCATAAGGAAAGTGCATCTGACATTTCGCACCATTTTTTGTATAAAGTAAGTAAATAGTACAACCATAGATCAGACATCCTCAACTAAGGGAGGTGTCAGCGGGTGAAGTTAGCTTGAGATAGCAATCAGATTATACCTGCTAGAGCAGTAATCGCTTAAGGTCACGCTGGTTGTAGGGGGAAATTCAGCTAAATGAAATTGACTTGATGTGGGCTTACGGAGCCAAGTTAGGAGCTATAATATGTTATATTAATTTAGATAAAACAGGTGAACTAAAAGAAAACAGAAAACAATCCTAGAGCGACATGTGACAGGTTATAGTACACGTGTAGTAGCTCGGGTCACCGTTCAAGGTGGTAAGTCATTTTGCTTTGGCACTGTTGTGCCTGGTACGAATGGCGTTATTCGGTCTATAGCCCATGCTGGACGATTCACTGCTAGAACAGATTCCAGATCCCGAAACAGAGAGTGAACTTCTGATGGTTTGGTAGCAGAGTATGTCTTGCCATTCTTTTTCAGCCGGGAGCGCCCCATTTGTAGGTTATGTTGCGGTCTCTGAGTATTTGTGTGATCTGTCGGAAAGACTGTCTCCAAACGGTGCTGTGACGGGACATGTCTCGGTAAAAGGAGACTTGGCATCCTTCAAATGTTGTGGAAGTGGTGCCCCTGGTTTCCTCCATTATTATACCCCTGTCTGAGTCCCAAACAAATTTCAGTAAAACATACCTTGATGCATCTGGGGTGTCCTTGGGGGTTTTGGCAAATGGAGACAATAGTCAAGGGTGATGTGCTTTACTTGTTTTGGTGTCAGTATCGTAGACAGTAGGCGCCTGACGAAGTGGGGTAATTCCTCAGTGGTAACCGCCTCAGAGACCCCTCTGAACCATAAATTTCTGGCTCTGGACCTGTCTTCTAGGATAGCCATGCGATCAGTCAGATCGAGATTGCTTGTCTGCAGAGCGTTGAGGGCTGCGTCCGTGCCCATCTGTGCCACATTTGAAGCACCCATGTTTTCCTCCACTGCCACTGTTCAACCAGTCAGCGCTGCCATTTCCTCCCTCAGAACTGCCATATCGGCTTGCAACATTGCCCGGATTTCTTGTGATAGGGCTTTGATGTCAGCTTTGGTGGAGGTGCATTGTCTTGTACTGCAGAGGGGCCTGGCATAGGCACTGTTGTTTTTGGGAAGGAAGACAAGATCTCAAGGAGGCTTTCCTCGTCTAAGGTAGCTGATGTGTATGCCTCCACAGGCGCCATTTTGTCTTTCTCTGACCTACCCTTCTGGCGCAGCAATGTCCCGGGTCCAGATCCACCTGGTTAGTTTTCTTCCCCATCGGTATTGGAGGGGAGAACAGCCGGAACCGGGTGCGTAGGCGCACTGTAAGGGTCAGGAAAGTGCCTTTTGATTGTGCGTTCAGCCGGAGCTCGTGCAGTGTGCGACTGTCTCGTTCAGGCGCTGGCATTCCTCCCGAACAAATTTTTATCTTGGCTGAACACAATGCATTTATGGTACAAAAGTCTAGCAATTTATTACTTTATTGTAGCTTTCCAGACCTTCTTTCACTCTGTCAAACATCATGAAACACCATTTTGACGTTATTTAAATAAATTGTGACACAGTGTAATATGTCATGTATTGTTGTTCATCTTAAGTTGTATTTACCTAATTTTAAGACCTGCTAAGGAACAGATGATTGTCATTATGCCCTTATGTGGAAAGCTATAGAATTCAAAGAGGGTGTACTTTCTTTTTCTCCTGACTATATTCGGAGCCATTACAAATCATTGTCTGGAAATCTATTCATTAACAGGACTGTACATAGGACACAAGGTCATGCATTTAGACTGCAAGAAGGAGATTTAATCTAAGGCAAACATTTTTTTTTTTTTTTCCTCCAGTAAGAACAATAAAGATATTGAATTCTCTGCCTGAAGAGGTGTCTATACAGATGATTAAACAGCAATTGGATAAATGCTTGCAAAAACATTGCAAATATTCAGGGATATAATTTTTAATTTGTGGGGTAACAGTTTATTGATCCATGGAGACATCTGACTGTCATTCTGGGCTTAAAGGACCACTATAGTGCCAGGAAAACATACTCGTTTTCCTGGCACTATAGTGCCCTGAGGGTGCCCCCACCCTCAGGGACCCCCTCCCGCCCGGCTCTGGAAGGGGGAAAGGGGTAAAAACTTACCTTTTTCCAGCGCTGGGCGGAGAGCTCTCCTTCTCTCCTCCTCCGTTCCTCCTCCTGGGCTGAATGCGCTGACAAGAGCTTCTTGCGCGCATTCAGCCCGTCACCTCAGGAAAGCATTTACAATGCTTTCCTATGGACACGATCTCTCACTGTGAAAATCAGGGAATGGGGAAGGCTTAACCCATTCATAAACATAGCAGTTTCTCTGAAACTGCTATGTTTACTAAAAAAGGTTAACCCTAGAAGGACCTGGCACCCAGACCACTTCATTAAGCTGAAGTGGTCTGGGTGCCTAAATGTCCTTTAAGAAGAAATACTTTCCTAGTTTGTTGCAAAATTATTAAGTGCTTTAAACTGGGTTGTTTGCCTTTTTTTTTTTTTTTTATTCCAAGAGTTTTTATTGAGCGTGAAAGAATACTTTACAAACAGTGTTTAAGCATTGCTTCGGTTATTACAGAATTCTCATAACATACAGGACTACAAAGTAATATATCGACTCTATAATGAACTGTTCCTCTATCTAACGATTAACACTGGACTAGTACATTTGCCTTATTTTATATCAACAGCAAAAACGATTTATTAGCAGCCACATAATAACATTTGTACCAGCAAGGGTTGTAAGTGTTTGAATTGCAAGCAGCAGTCAAATTGTTTGGATTAAAAAAAAACCAAAAAAACTTTTTCTGAATTTGACGAGTTTGGCCCAGAAATCAGCCTTCCGGCGATGTTTAGTCTAGGTGAAATCTGGACTAAATTCAAGCCTGTTTGTGACTTGAAAAACACGGACATTTTTAAATATTGTGAACTATGTCTGCACTTTGCTGTCCCAGTGGCCTGTATGCAGCCCGATGGTTTTGTCCCTTTCAGTACAAGGCCAGTCGTACTTTAGTGAATTACCCAGCAAATATTACCTATTAAGAAATGCTATTAATTTACCGTACTGTTTTCTTATTTGTATCTACATTATTTGTGTGAGGGGCAAATAAGGCTGTATAGGAAGCGTACAAAGAGTAGCATAGGGAGAGATAAGTTGATTGAGGTGTGCCTGAACCGACGTCGCAGTAGACCTGTAATAAAAGAGGATACAAATAAGAAACAAGTCCTGCGCTCAAACTCTCATTACTCCTGGGCGGCAGCAATGACCATAGTACACATTAGCCAAAATACATATAGTAAAAACAAAGAAAAAAGTTACCTGCACTTTTTCCACATTTTTTTTAACAAATGGAGGTTTTTAGTTACTTCCAATGGCCATGAGAGGGTATGCCCACCTGCCACGTCAAGGCAGACCTCTTAGGTGGGTCCTAACTCTAACCATTCACCTTGCTTCCTTGAGCTTCTGGCAAAGATAGCTCTTCCCTCTGTAATAAAAGAGGGCCCACCCATGAGGTGTAATGAAAAGTATAGGGTCGTTAACCATGGGTCGTCAACCTGGTCCCTACCGCCCACTAGTGGGTGTTTCAGGATTCCAGGTGGGCGGTAGGGATTTTGGCGGCTAAATCCTCTTTTTGAGAGGTTTTCTCCTTTTTAGAGTGGGCGGGCGGGCGTGAGCGGCTGGGGGGGCGCAAGATTTCAGTGACCGGTAGGAAGGAAGCACTCCCTTCTGCCAGGCCACCTTCTGGACCCCCCGGTGTGGTAGAGTTCTAATCCGAGGCAGCGAGGGAGCTCTAACCTCTCTGCTCTGCGCGATGTTTACTGATGCCGCGGAGCCGGAATATGATGTCATATTCCAGCTCCTGGCATCAGTAGACAGCCCGTGAGGGAGCAGAGCAGAGAGGTTAGAGCTCCCTCTCCGCCTCGGATTAGAACTCTGCCGCCCGCTGAAGTGAAGCCCCACTGGACACCAGGGACAGATCCACACCAGCTCTCCAGGTAGGGATGCTGGGTGGACATTTAATATTAATAATTTGTGTGTCTGTAAGTGTATTTGTGATTATGTATGTGTGTGTGTCTGTAAGTATATGTGTGTGTGTCTGTGAGTGTATGTGTGAGTGTGTGTATGTTTGTGTGTATGTGTGTAACGGCACCCCCAGGCATAAAAGGGTTAAACCGCCGTTTAGAAGATCTTCCCCTTCCAGAGATGCAGGCACAGCTACTGTAGAACACCAAACTCCCGAACCGCAAATAAGGGAATGCTCCAATCTCCCGAACTGCATACAATATAGCACTCCAAACTCCCGAACTGGAACCATACGAATAGCTGCTAGCAGACGAATAGGAAAAGCACCCAAGCGGCTTACACTCCTAGCAATCAGTCTCTATCAGCATTCAGTAAATCCCCTCAAAGACGAGACAAGGCTCCGTGTTGAGGGTCACGCAGTGGTCTGTTTAATGAAGGCTACCTGCCCAGTATTTATGCAGGTCTCCCACCTGGTGAACACTCCCCTAGGGGACCAAATGGGAGACTGTAACAAAGGACAGACAAGTATCAATTTAGGATACACAGTCACATTATATTCCCACAATGCATCCTGGCTTCCTCCCCTCTGCTCTGGAGATAATTGAGAAGTAATTCAATTATCTCCCAGGACAAAGGCAAATCGCCATTATGCACGTGGTAATACCAATACAGGAGTTAATATTAAAATACACTATGTGACAAAAGTTACAATGAATATATACATTTAACATATCCCCAGATAGCTCAGGTCTGAGCGCACATTATTAAGCGAATGGCGCTCAGACCACACAAATACAGTTTAATCGCCTTTGAGCTAAAGTGTTCATAAAGTCAGTTCTCATACGAATGAACTCCACGGGATTCCTATCTGGGGTATGGTGTAGTCAGGTACAACTACCGAATACAGGGCCGTTCGTGCACTTCCACCGAACAAGAAGGGAGATCGGCGGCTTCAGCGGTGTTCGCGCCAAAAGGCATCCGTTTTCAGTTCCATGAGTTGGAACCGCTGTGCGTTCGCGTGTTTAAAATGGCCGCGACTTCGAGTTCGGTATACGAATGGTGGCCACCCAGTATTCGTCAATTAAGCTGCGGTTAACCACAGCTTCTGGGAGGCTAATTGCCGACACATTCCAGCTCCCAGGTGGTCTAGTCATTCGTGTGTTAGTTCGGTTGATTGAATCTACCGTACACCGGGCAGAAAAGCACAAATAAGTCTTTTCTGCAGGGGAAACAAAGTCTTTTAACATGGGGCCTTAATCCAAAGGCAACAGGCGAGCAACCAGGCTTCTCCAATGCAATGTGGCGAGATTACTCTCGTCACAATGTGTTTCTCTGTGAGTGTGTGTCTGTAAGTGTATGTATGAGTGTGTTTGTCTGTGAGTGTGTGTGTCTGTAAGTGTATGTGTGAGTGTGTGTATGTGTTTGTCTGTGAGCAGAGTACTTGTAGAATAGAAGAAAGAAAGAGCAGAGTATTTGTAGAATAGGAGAAAGAAGGAGTAGAGTATTTGTAAAAAAGGATAAAGAAGGAAAAGGAGAGAATTGTTGTTGGCTAATAATAGTAAGTGGGCACCTAGCTCAGCCTTCCTACTGGGCATTGCTATAAGGAAGGTTAAAAAAACAGATAAAAGGGAAAACAAAGTGGGAAGGGGAATTGAGGAGGGAGAGGAGGGGAGCTGATGCACAGATGATAAATCATATTATGAGCAAACATAGAAATCATCTGAATATCACCGAAAGAGGAGACCTTTGTTTGTTCCTTACGAAAATCGAACCAGATATCAAGTATTTAGTCAGCATCAACCTCAAGGATCTAATTAATCACTAGTAAAGGTAATTTCAATTTACTTTGTTTTCTCATTAAACTTTATAAAGTCAAAAACATTATAAACATGCATAAAGTAGAAATAAAAAGATAAATGTACGTACATTTATTTTTTTTAAAAACACCCTCCTTTCTAAAAAATATTCTGCACTTGCGTGAAAACTGGTGGGCGGTAAGGAAATGTTTCAATCAAGAAAGATGCTTTAGTGGGCGATAGGTAGAAAAAGGTTGACTACCACTGGTATAGATAGAGGGAGTGGAGTCATGCGAATCACTAAAAGCACGTACGGGACGGAGGAAGGTGGGTAGGGGGTTGAAATAAGATAACGTGCCCCTCCCACAACTAGGCAAAGCCTTTACATTTAGTAAATTACTTTTTTAAAACATTTTTTGTTCAATCAATTTTGCTGTTTTTGTTTCCATCAAAAAATTTGCTTTCTATGCATATTGAAATGAACAAAAAAAATTTAAACATTACTTTCCTAGGCACCCAAAATACTCAGATTCCGGTAGTGATTTTTTTTTTCTCAAACCAAAAAAAATACAAAAAACAAAAGGTGTGCTAAAACTAATATAGCTATTTAATACAAAATACAAATGTGCTAAAACTAATATAAAACTAATTTAGCACATAACATCTCGTAAATCATTTAATGTATACTTTATCATAGTAACCTGCTGTATTAGTAATTACATTCTAGTGCCATAATTATTGGGGATTGTGGGAACTACTCTGTTGTAACTACCACTCTCCACTTCCACATGCTTTCAGATATGATTGGTCCTGCTTGGGGTACTTCCTCAATCCTCCAACGTGCTTGCTTCACTGCCAACATATCAGTCAAAACATCCTTTATTTATCCTCTGTACTTGCAGACAAGAGTAGCACTGTGACATGGACTAGGAGAACCACGTGTAAGAGAGCTCTCCTCTCATTATCACGCAATACTGTGCTTAAACTTGTATTTATTTTTATATTTGCTAGCAGTTCTGCCTGCACACTTTTTCCCCTAATCCTGACCATAGTCCTAATCCTTAAAGCAACCATTAATCCAACCCATAATCCAATCCACAATCCAAGTCCTAATCCAACCTTTAATCCAATTTATAACCCAACTCATATTCTAATTATTTTCAAAAACCCATAATTAACCAAATAGTGCTAAAACATACAAATAAAATACACCAATCATGATTAAATCTCCAGAGACAAAAAGATGGTACTTGACTGACTGTGGAGCAGTAAAGAAGGAGGAGGGGAGGTGCTGACTATTATACTGGGACTTGGTATGGGAGTGGCTTATCATTATGTGTATCATTTTTTTTCTTACTGTTTGTATTCTTTGCTGCTATTGGTGGACAGTAATGAAAGGGATAAGCAATACTCGCCTCCGTGTCTTTAATAAAATCATGTCTTTTCGTCATGTAATAGCAAAATCATGTAATTTATAACTCAACTCATATTCTAATTATTTTCCTACCCCTAATCCAGCATCTAATCAAACCCATAATCCCAATTTTAATCCATAACCTAACCCTAATCCTCAGGGCTGGTGCAAGGATTTTTGCTGCCCTAGGCAAAATAAAAATGTGCCGCCTGCCCCCATGTGACATCACAATGCCATATGATCTGCCATATGATCGAACGCCAGTGCTGCACACAATGTGTGTTTACATTAAAAAGCCTGCAGAGACCGGCTATAGACACTAGAACCACTACAGTAAGCTGTAGTGGTTCTGGGAACTATAGTGTCCCTTTAATGTGTGGGAAAATAGAGAGTAGTGCCACGAATAATATACTAGATTGCCTACTTACAACCCGATGAGGATGATGAGGGGCTCTGGCTGCGTCTGGCTCCAATGGTATGGTGTAGAACAGGCTCTCTGGTGGCTGTTTGTAACTGTGGTCACAAAAGGCGCTAAAGTAATTTAATTTGCCATATTAGCATAAAAAGGGCTATGAGCAGCACTCACTGCATGATGATCGATGCGGTCAATGGCGCTCTGCACTGCATTACGACATTTTTGTAGTTTCTCTGACTGTCTGCAGCCAAGTTGTGAATTAAAAGAAGCTCAATTAGTTCTGTTAGGGGCTGAGCTATGTGCAGACACTGATAAGAAAGTCTTTCTGGCATGAAAGGGCATAGCTAAAGAGAAGCTGCACTCTTCTTCAAATATATATATACATATATATTTTTTGTGCAAAATGTATGAAGATTTAAGTGTGTAAAAAACACAGTGTAGTAATGAGTCCAAAACAAATAGCACGTAACGAGAGAGACATATTGTTGCCTAAATAAAACGTACGCTCAATCGCTGAGCCCCTAGCATGTAACCAGAGAGACAATCAACTTTCTCACAGTAGTAGGTTATGGACTGAATGGTCTGTCCAAAATTTGAATGGTTGAGGACCCCTAAGCCACATCTTCAATAACAATTTCAAGCATGCATTTTCTTAATATAGAGAAGCAGTAAACCGGATAGGGCGGCTGGTAAACACTGACCTCCCTATTCGGCGACTGCAACACCAAGCAGACACTCCAGTGGTGTCTTGGAGCTTAACCCCTAATGTATGAAACAAATAGTGACAACAATCTACTTACCAGAGTAAAAACTCCGTAAGTGGTTGTCAACTGGAAATTGATAGCAAAGGAAATAATAACAAAATTATAATGGTATTGAAATGTGCATATTAACCCATATTAATCGAAGAAATGAAAGATCAAAAGAAGTTATCCAAAGCCAAATGGCTAAAGCTCTCTTTACTCTAAATGGAATACTTCCTAATTGCCAGGCTTCAGCCTTTAATAAATATGGTCTATAACTGGAATAGGATTTAGTATATAGGTTAGTAAACAGCCTAGGTAGTGGATTTCAGATATCAGAATAACAGCTCTATAGATAGCTAATAGAGAGTTTAGAAGAGATGAGGAGAAAGGTATAAATGCTTAATCCAGATAATCTCTTAAGGCGAAGTAGAGAAAATAAACGTTATTATGTGAATTTGTTGTTGCAAACCACATCTATCGACTGATTGTAACACTGCAATTGCTATATGAAAATTGCAATTGCTATATGAAACAGTGTTGCGATAATGTTGCTGTTAGAACTGGATGTTTATATAGTAGCCCTATCATATCAGTCTTAGGACTTGCTTAAATGGTAGTGATATGTAACCTATGGCTGTTAGGGATATAGTAATAAGCGGTGCCTCAGCATTTCTATACGGCTCTATCTTGAGCCGGATACATAGTCTTAGGTAATAAGTCCTATGGGATCACAATGTAAGGGTTCGATTCCGGAGAGGGAGCCTGAGAAACGGCTACCACATCCAAGGAAGGCAGCAGGTGTGCAAATTACCCACTCCCGACGCGGGGAGGTAGTGAAAATAAATAACAATACAGGACTCTTTCAAGGCCCTGTAATTGGAATGAGTACACTTTAAATCCTTTAACGAGGATCTATTGGAGGGCAAGTCTGGTTCAGAGCGACTGACCCGTCCGTGCTGCAGCTGAAACTCCACTATCGCCTGCTGCTGCTCGCACAGTCTCTCCAGCATGTGCAAGGTGGAGTTCCACCTTGTGGGCACGTCGCATATGAGGCAGTGAGCGGGAAGGCCGGAGTTACGCTGCAGCGCAGACAGTCGAGCAGCAGCAGGGTGAGAACGCCGAAACCATGCACAGACGGCTCGCACTTTCTGCAGCAGCTCTGATATATCTGGGTAGTTTTTCAGGAATTTCTGCACCACCAAATTCAGCACATGGCAAGGCAAGGGATGTTTTTTAAAACCGGCTAGGCCCAGAGCTGCTACGAGATTTCACCCATTATCGCACACCACCAGGCCGGGCTTGAAGCTCAGTGGCAAGAACCACTCATCGGTCTGTTGTTCCATGCCCGTCCACAGCTCCTGCGCGGTGTGGGGGTTTTCCCAAAAACATATTAGTTTTAAAACAGCCTGCTGTCGTTTCCCCCTGGCTGTGCTGAAGTTGGTGGTGACTCCTCATGCTCACCCGATGAGGAGGTGGTAGAGGAGGAGGAAGCAGAGTAGGAGGAGGAGGCAAAGAGAAATGCCTTGCAATCCTCGGTGGCGGAAGGACATGCGCCAAACTGCTATCCTCCTCAGGCCCAAACTAACAGATGGTTTATGTCAGGCGACAATGTAACCACCAATAGTCAACAATTAAGTTCACTGACAGTAAGGCAGTGCCGGTCTCCTAAAGAGAAAACATTTCTAGAGGTCATACAACAGTGTGACAGGCGTAATTAATACAGTTACTTCACTGTCTCAAAAAAGTGTGATTTTTTTAAACCAACAATGTAAGAGTAGTATTTAAGGATTTTATTGGACTGCAAGAAATGCACCGCAGGCCGCAAATGTACTATTTAGCACCAAAAAAATTTGAATTTTTCAAACTGCGATGTAACCACAGGATTTGACGGTTCTATTTGACTCTCAGATATGAAGTGCACCCCCCAAATGTACTATTTAGCACCAAAAAAAATTTGAATTTTTCAAACTGCGATGTAACCACAGTATTTGACGGTTCTATTTGACTCTCAGATATGAAGTGCACCCCCCAAATGTACTATTTAGCACCAAAAAAAATAGAATTTTTCAAACTGCGATGTAACCACAGTATTTGACGGTTCTATTTGACTCTCAGATATGAAGTGCACCCCCCAAATGTACTATTTAGCACCAAAAAAATGTGAATTTTTAAAAGTGCGATGTAACCACAGTATTTGATGGTTCTGTTTGACTCTCAGATATGAAGTGCACCGCAGGCAGCAAATGTACTATTTAGCACCAAAAAAATTGTGAATTTTTAAAAGTGCGATATAACCACAGTATTTGTCGGTTCTATTTGACTCTCAGATATGAAGTGCACGCCCCAAATTTACTTTTTAGCACCAAAGAAATGTGAATTTTTCAAAGTGCGATGTAACCACAGTATTTGACAGTTCTATTTGACTCTCAGATATGAAGTGCACGCCCAAAATGTACTATTTAGCACCAAAATAATTAGAATTTTTAAAAGTGCGATGTAACCACAGTATTTGATGGTTCTATTTGACTCTCAGATATGAAGTGCACGCCCCAAATATACTATTTAGCACCCAAAAAATGTGCATTTTTAAAAGTGCGATGTAACCACAGTATTTTACGGTTCTAATTGACTCTCAGCTATGAAGTGCACACCCCAAATCTACTTTTTAGCACCAAAAAAAATGTGAATTTTTAAAAGTGCAATGTAACCACAGTATTTGACGGTTGTATTTGACTCTCAGATATGAAGTGCACCGCAGGCAGCAAATGTACTATTTAGCACCCAAAAAAAATAGAATTTTTCAAACTGCGATGTAACCACAGTATTTGACGGTTCTATTTGACTCTCAGATATGAAGTGCACGCCACAAATTTACTTTTTAGCACCAAAAAAATTTGAATTGGTCTAACTGCGATGAAACCACAGTATTTGATTTAACCACAGTATCTGACTCTCAGATATGAAGTGCACCAGAATTCTTTCCTAATTTGTCCATCACAGCTGCAGCATCCTCTTCCTACATTAATAAGAGCTCATGTGACTCCAGCTTATATAGAGACTGGGTCACATGCTGCACTGGCCAATCACAGCAATACCATTAGTAAGCATGGCTGTTATGGCTTCTAAGGGCACACGTGTCAAACTCTTGTTGATTGGATGCAGCTTTTTAAAATGCGCCATTAAATCGCAGAACACCGAACTTGATCCCGAACTGTTACTGAAATGTCCGTGTTCGGGTTTGGGGTCCAAAAATCGTAATGTTCGGTACGAACCTGAACTGTAAAGCTCTAATTAAGAGATTATTTGGATTAAGCATTTAAACCTTTCTCTTCTAAACTCTCTATTAGCTATCTATAGAGCTGTTATTCTGATATCCACTACCTAGGCTACTTACTCACCTATATACTAAATCCTATTCCAGTTATAGACCACATCTATTAAAGCTTGAAGCCCGGCAATTAGGAAGTATTCCATTTAGAGTAAAGAGAGGCTTAGCCATTTGGCTTTGGATAACTTCTTTTGACCTTTAATTTCTTCGATTAATATATGTATCAATCAAAATACACTTAGAATGAATATATATATATATATATATATATATATATATTAATAAATAAAAATAATACAAACTAAATATATATCCATATACAGTTACATAAATAATTTCATAAATATACACGTAGACATCAAATATAAATATATATATATATATATATATATATATATTTAAATTCTATGTGCATATTTATGTAATATTTTTACATAATTAAGTAATTTTATTAATTTCAGTTTGAGGAACCTGCCTGACAAACCAGGCTGAAATTTCAGTCCAGAGAATTTTATTTAGTAGCACTGTATTTAGCCCTGTAACTTTCCATGACATCCTAAAACCTGCACATGTGGGGTTCTGTTTTACTTGGGAGACTTCGCTGAACACAAAGATTACTGTTTCAAAACAGTAAATCATATCACAGCAATGATATTGTCAGTGAAAGTGAAGTTTTTTGCATTTCTCACACACAAACGGCACTTTCACTGATGATATTGTTGTGATACATTTTACTGTTTTGAAACACTAATATTTGTGTTCAGTGAAGTCTACCGAGTATAACAGCACCCCCCATGTACAGGTTTTATAGTGTTTTTGCAAGTTACAGGGTCAAATATAAGGTTATGTTGCCCTTGAGAGCGTATGGTAGCCCAGGAATGAGAATTACCCCCATGATGGCTTACCATTTGCAAAAGAAGACAACCCAAGGTATTGCAAATGGGGTATGTTCAGTCTTTTGTAGTAGCCACTTAGTCACAAACACTGGCCAAAGTTAGCGTTCATAATAGTTTTTTGCATTTTTAACACACAAACCAATATTAATGCTAACTTTGGCCATGTAACATATTCATCCTCACCTTGCAGTGTTTGTGCTCAGCATTCATGCTTCTGTGTACTTGACTCCTGCAACATGTTGGTGGACGCCGGCCGCTGCGGACCCACGCCAAATTATAGCCACACGTTGATGATGATGACATCAGCGTGCGTGTGACATCACACGGGAGACACCCGCACGTTCTGGGGTCAAAGGCTGATCTCATCCAATCAGATTTGTAAAATTATTTAAAGGCATTTTTACTTTTCCTCATTGCCCTTTCGTGGTTTTCCTTAGTGGTTGTCCGAGAGTGTGTTCCTGAGCGTTTTTTTCTGGTTATTGACTTTGGCTTAGTTTTGGCTTACCTGTATTCTGGTATCCCTGACTTTTGGCTTTCCCTTATCGTTGTATCCCATTCCGTGTCCCCGACTTTGGCAAGTATTCTGATTATTCTCTGGTACATAAGCCGCTTAAGGACTGGACTGTTTTTGCAATGTTGTACATTTGCGACCAGGCCTCTTATTACACTTTTGTGGTGTTTGTGTTTAGCTGTAATTTTCCGCGCTCTCATTTACTGTTCCTATACAAATTATATATTTTTTTTTCAGGACAAAAAGAGCTTTTTTTACATACCATTATTTATATAATCTCATGTAATTTAATTAAAAAAAAAATGATGAAATATTTAAAATAATACATGTTTTTTTACTTTTACTTGAAAAATCTTTTACTCATCTACAAAAGCGAATGAAAAAAACTGCTAAATAGATTCAAAATTTTGTCCTGAGTTTAAAAATACCCAGTGTATATGTGCTTTTTTGCTTTTTTTTTGCAAGTTATAGGGCTAAAGGTACAAGTAGGATATTGCGGTTTCAAAACATAAATTTTTAAAATTTATCAATAGTGACATTGTAACACTATTATCTGTCATAAATCTCTGAATAACACCCCACATGTAGATATTTTTTTAAAGTAGATAACCAAGGGTATTCAATATGGGGTATGTCCAGTCTCTTTTAGTAGCCACTTAGTCGCAAACACTGGCCAAAGTTATTTGTGTGTGAAAAAAGTAAAAAACTAAATTGAACACTAATTTTGGCCAGTGTTTGTGACTAAGTGGCTACTAAAAAAGACTGGACATACCCCATTTGCAAAACCTTGGGTTGTCTTCTTTTGCAAATGGTATGCCATCATGGGGGTAATTCTCATTCTTGGGCTACCATAAGCTCTCAAAGGCAAAGTAACCAACCTGGCCATTTTCAATGTAAAAATATTTGACCCATGTATTTGACCTCGTAAATACCCATGTATTTAACCTCATACTGTTATACTCAGGAGACTTTGCTGAACACAAATATTAGTGTTTCAAAACAGGAAAACGTATCACAACAATTAAATCATCAGTAAAAGTGCTGTTTGTGTGTGAAAATTGCAAAAAAAGTCACTTTCGCTGACAATATCATTGTTGTGATATATTTTACTGTTTTGAATCACTAATATTTATGTTCAGCGAAGTCTCCCAAGTAAAACAGTACCCCCCATCTACAGGTTTTAGGTTGTCATAGAAAGTTACAGGGTAAAATACAGTGCTAGCAAATTAAATTCTCTGGACTTTGGCCTGGGTTGGCAGGCAGGTCCCTCAAATTGCAATCAATAAAATTACTTAATTATGTAAAAATATTACATAAATACGCACGTAGAATTTAAATATATATGCATATTTATATATTTGAAGTCTACATGTATATTTATATAATTATTTATGTAATTTTGTATATGGACATATGTATATTTTGTATTATTTTAATTTATTTATATATACATAGATATATATATACAATTTCATTCTAAGTGTATTTTGATATAAATATATATTATATACAGATAGAATAAAATTTCATATAGATATATAATTTTATTTTATTATTATTATTTTTACATGTTTTTATTTAATTTAAATTACTTATTTGTATTTTATAATTATATATATATATATACACACACACACACATACAATATATATATAGTTATTATATATATTATATATATATATATATATATATATATATACACACACGTGTGTAACTTAATTATAAGTGTATTTTTAGATTAATATATGTACATATTAATATAAAAATACACTTAGTATGACATTATATATGATATATAGACATATATTATATATATATAATATATGTCTATATATAATATATATCTATATATATATATAAATATATATAAACACATATATAATTATTTTTGTATTTATTAACATTAACAGTTTTTTTAATTTTTTTATTTTACACTACCAGGGAGACTGCCTGTCAGCACAGACAGTCCCCCTGCAGGCAGACACTAGGACACCTATTGTGACCAGGTGATCGCTCTGTTGAGCGATCACATGGTCCCCGGGGTCCTAATTTGCCATGGGGAGTTTGTCTGGGCTGCAGGCAGTCTCCCCACACTGGGAGCACCGCCGATCGCCACCGGGGTAACAACGGCGATCGGGTAAGTACATTACACCGTTAGGACGGTTCAGGACCGTCAGCGGTCGGCAATGCTAAAATGCAGATGACGGTCCTGAATCGTACTCGGCCCTGAAGGGGTTAAGTCTGGCCATTCTAAGTCCCGGCAAGACGTTACCTTTTAGTCCTAGGTGTGATACAATTCTACGTGCTGGATCAAATAGTAATCCTGACAGGCTAGTGTTTGTGACTAAGTAGCTACTAAAAAAAGACTGGACATACCCCATATTGAATACCCTGGGTTGTGTACTTTAAAAAAAAAAAGGTGAGGTGTGATTCAGAGATTTATCACAGATAACAGTGTTACAATGTCACTATTGATATATTTTTAAAATATATATTTTGAAACAGCAATGTCCTACTTGTACTTTTAGCCCTGTAACTTGCAAAAAAGCTAAGAAAATGTTAGCATTGATATTTCTAAATTCAGGACAAAATTTAGAAACTATTTAGCATTTGTGTTTTTTTGTGGTTGTAGATGCGTAACAGATTTTGTGTGTCAAAGTTGAAAAAAATGTGTTTTAAAAAATTTGTTCATCTTATTTTATAATTTGTTTTAATTGTTATGTTAATGATATGATATGATGAAAATAATGGTATCTTTAGAAAGATCATTTAATGGAAAATGACAGCTAAACACAAACACCACAGAAATGTAAAAACAGCCCTGGTCCTTAACGGTAAGAAAATTGAAAAACGGTCTGGTCACTAAGAGTTTAAGAAGAAAAAAACACTCACAAAAAGCAGGTACATTAAGTCTGAAGTATTCAAATGTGTTATTTCCTATATAGCATCAGCCTAGAAGTCCTGGGAGTATCAAAAGCAGCATGACCTCTTTGGTTCTCTCCATGCAAGATAAGTCTCATCACTGTTTTCATATTCAGTCTTTAACCTAAGCATTTCATCACTAACACATTAATTTCTTAGGTCCCATTGGGTAACTTACTCACTGTTGGCGGTGAAATATATAAGACGACCGGGAGAATCATCAACAGAAGACTTTTATTTGAGTAAAAAAAAAGAATGCTCTTTTCTTTTTGCAGCCCAATGTAAATCATTTCATGTTGAGTTTTCTGTCTTCTTTTAGATCAGCAGCAGGAAAAGGTGTGTGAAAGAGTGAACATAATGGACAGTACATACAGTGAACAGGCAACAAAATGATTTTTATAATCAATTGAAGTTGAGTCAAGATAACTACCTGTAACGGCACCACACAGGCATAAAAGGGGGTAAAAGCCGCTTAGTAGATATTCCCCTTCCAGATATACAGGCAGCTACCAAAGACACCAATCCGCCGAACAGGAAACCATGTGAATGCCATAAACAGCCGAATAAGAAAAACCATATGAATAGGTTTACACTCCTAGCAGGCGAACTGGAACAGCATACAATAAATCTCCCCAAGAACGAGACAAGGCTCTGTTTTGAGGGTCAAGCAGTAACAGACAGAGCTGTGTCTTTATTGGCCTTATATACACATTTTACAGACAAGTCCCACCCACAGGGTTTTGCAGAACAACCAATTAATACGTGCAATACACTCAGACACTCCCAGCAATTACAAACAAAATCCTCCTCTCTGCCTGTGATATAATTACTGAGCACAATGGGCTGACGTAATTATCACAGGCAGAAAAATACTAAATTTTACACAATATTCCTAACTTTAAAAGTATACATCACTATGGCATAATTTCTTACATTTTCAGAATCCACATACTCCAAATACAAACATATGTCAAAATCATACAAATTGGTCCAGTGGTTCAAAAGTTAGTTGGAAATCCCTTTTTGACCAACTGCAAGCATGGCTTGGGTGTGGTAAGCCAATTATCTTCAGCATACAGAAATATCTCCATTTACAACAACAGTAAAAACACATAATTCCTATCATACTGAACAGAACCCCCACATTCAACCTATCCCCAGATAGCTTGGATCTGAGCGCTCAATATATCCAAACAGCGCTCAGATCCCACGAACACAGTCAAATCGCCATGGAGTTAAAGTTTAGCAACAAGTTCCAACTGATCTGGCAGTGTCCCTGGGACAACACCCTGCTAGAGAACAATAGTCAGGAAACAGAGGAGGGGCACACCTTCTCATGTATTCAAAGGGGAAGAAAAAGTGTTTCAAAATCCAATAAGCCCAAATAATGCTTACACTGGGCAAAGTCTCCCAGGGGCCATAGTCACATGGCAGGAGGCTGGCAATCAGTCTTCTCCAATGCCCAGTGGCGAGGCTGGTTCCGCCACACTACCAGATGCAAATATTACAGCCGTAATCATCATAATAATAATGTAGCTGTAGATGTAGCAGCTTAATGTAGTTGTTCTGTTGAGTATAATCATTCCCTGCAGGCATTTTCATGCAAACACTGCCTTTTTCTGTGCAACACTGCCGTTCAGCATCTCTGCGCTCTGAATGGAGACACTCAATTTTCCTCATAGAGATGCATTGATTCCTATTGCTTATAGGACAACCCAGCATTTGGCCCATCTCCATGCTGATTGGCTGAAATCGTAAATTCTAATTATGTTAGCAAGCAGTTGGATCGGGGGCAGGGCAAGTGCCAGAAGACCTGCGTGGCGCTGGAAATAAGGTAAGTTTCCTTACCTGACAAGGGGGCTAAGAGGGGAGCAAGCCACCTAAATGATGGTTTTAACACAATAGGGCCAGGAATACATATTTGTGTTTCTGACCCTGTAGTGTTCCTTTAAATTTGAAATTCACCTTACATTTTCAGTTAAGCAAATAATAAAATAGTCTCAAAAATGTAGCATTGTCTGAAATGCTAGGAAATAATCAGATACATTTGCTACATAGAGTAGGTATGACAAATTAGGTAAATATAAATTATTGAAAATCATCAGTAAGGATATTGGTACAAGACCTTGTGGCTTTTTTGCATGGGTGTAACTTACTAAAATGTCACCAGAATGTAACAATAATGCCTGAATGTGGACACAGCAAGTACACATCAGGCATATGTACAATATTGCAGGATGCAGTTAGAGCCTGCACATAATCCATATAGTAAACTCAGAGCTCACCATCAATGGCTACTAGAAAACTACTCTGACACTTGTCTTAAAATGGTACTTTCACTCCTCTTCCTGAAAAATGAGTATTTGGGAATGATAGTATCTTTTATGAAATACTCATATTGACTGTGTTTGAAATTTCACTGAAAGAGACATACAGAGACAAAGTAGGGACCCACCAGAAAGGACAGGTTCAGGAAGTAAATCTCATCTTTAATTGATCCCTCTCCCAGAGGGACGTCCATGTCAGGGGTCTTTGCGAGTTTGACAGGCAGTGACAATGCAGCTTTAAAAGTCTGCTGTGTCATTCAAGAAAAGGTGGGAAGTGTCATTTAGAGTCCCTATGTTGAAATGCAGAGGGACAGGGACATGTGTTCCTCTGAATATCAGCACTAGAGCAAAAGTGAAGATAAATAAGAAGGCATGGCCTGTAATTGTGGGAGGGGTTACCCAGCTATAAAAGCTCAGGCCCCCTCCATATCAGAACCGTCACCACTAGGTTCATTCAGTACCCCTGACTTCCGGTTCCGGTCCACTCACCTCGACCTTGCTCCACGCTGGTCCAGTATCCCGCCTTACCTTACTCCGGCTAGGCCTCACCTGGGTCCACCGACGAGGCTTCCAGGTCTTCAGCTCTCCCAGACTGCACTTACACCACCAGCTCCGGTAACCCGCCCAACAGATCCGAACCGCTGAACTCTCATCTCCCCACGACTTCCGAGGTATAGCTCTGGGTCTTGTTTGTACGCATGAACCGTGAGTTCGTCTGAAAAGGTACCCATTTACACAGCATTCGTGCCAAACATTCAGCATTCACCCATACGAAGTTGTCCATTCGGGACCACTCACACTACGCATGTGTACTTACCATTCTTGTGCTAACCTTCGTACAAGCTGGTCGTTCGTCTGAGCAAGTCATTCTAGACAAACACTCGCTATACACACAGTTGCTCAACTACGACCTCAAGCGGCCAAATTACATTATGACAGCATTTAAAATACTACTCTTCATGTAACATTGTATTTAACCGATTTCTCTTGTTCTCATTAAATACATGTCACTCATTATGTTTTTGCAATCAGGTCTCCGTTAACATTAGAATACGGTAGAAGTAATGTCTGACAAATAGAGTAATTGCACCCTGGTTAGACTAAAATTATCCATCTGCTCTGTTACATTAAACAATATGAAGTTTACGTCTCATATTCTTGGCAGTTCCTAAACTCTCTAATTGCCTTTCCCCCACACTAGGTATTTATCAAAATTGTATTACTCCTCGTGGTTGCATTTGACTGCCTCAGTTCACCAATATACCCATTAAAGACGTATTTCTGTTTCCCTTCATACGGTAAGTATAATCATGTGCAATTATTATCATTTTATATGCATACCCCATGTCTCATCTATCCCATAATATTCCCTACATACGGTTTTCACATCCAGTCCAACACATGGTCACTACTGGTCACCAACGTCCATTTCATTGGCCACACTCATAAGTAAATCACAAGCTCCCTTACCCCTTACCTTAATTTTTTAGCAATTTTGAAGTATACTGCTAAACAACTTTAGCACACTCAAGCTTATCCCTCACCGTAATGTCCAATCCCCTCCTTTGTATTTACTTGGCACGCATGAGAGTGACCACATGTTCCCTCACGTTCTCGTCCATACTTTATTTACGGGCCTTACCATCACTTCTGTCCCCCAGAACTTTGGGGAATCATTGGATTTTTACTCCCAGCACACGTTACAGGTATACCGAATATCACCTCAGCTCTTGTCTTTATATACTTTACCATATTGTGTAGAGGATAACTGTAATTTTATCCTCAGATAACCATTACTAGCAATTCCCGACAGAACCACTGTCATCATTTCCACAGGTGAGTTGTACTTACAATATATATATATATATATATATATATATATATATATATATATATATATAATATATATACACAGTTGCAAGAAAAAGTATGTGAACCCTTTGGAATAATATGGATTTCTGCACAAATTGGTCATAAAATGTGATCTGATCATCATCTAAGTCACAACAACAGACAATCACAGTCTGCTTAAACTAATAACACACAAAGAATGAAATGTTGCCATGTTTTTATTGAACACACCATGTAAACATTCACAGTGCAGGTGGAAAAAGTATGTGAACCCCTAGACTAATGACATCTCCAAGAGCTAATTGGAGTGAGATGTCAGCCAACTGGAGTCCAATCAATGAGATGAGATTGGAGGTGTTGGTTACAGCTGCCCTGCCCTATAAAAAACACACACCAGTTCTGGGTTTGCTTTTCACAAGAAGCATTGCCTGATGTGAATGATGCCTCGCACAAAAGAGCTCTCAGAAGACCTATGATTAAGAATTGTTGACTTGCATAAAGCTGGAAAGGGTTATAAAAGTATCTCCAAAAGCCTTGCTGTTCATCAGTCCACGGTAAGACAAATTGTCTATAAATGGAGAAAGTTCAGCACTGCTGCTACTCTCCCTAGGAGTGGCCGCCCTGCAAAGATGACTGCAAGAGCACAGCGCTGCTCAGTGAGGTGAAGAAGAATGCTAGAGTGTCAGCTAAAGACTTACAAAAGTCACTGGCAAATGCTAACATCCCTGTTAGTGAATCTACAATACGTAAAACACTAAACAAGAATGGATTTCATGGGAGGATACCACAGAGCAAGCCACCGCTGTCCAAACAAAACATTGCTGCATGTTTACAGTTTGCACAAGAGCACCTGGATGTTCCACAGCAGTACTGGCAAAATATTCTGTGGACAGATGATACCAAAGTTGAGTTGTTTGGAAGAAACACACAACACTATGTGTGGGGTAAAAAGACACAGCACACCAACATCAAAACCTCATCCCAACTGTGAAGTATGGTGGTGGGGGCATCATGGTTTGCTATCATCGAAGGAAAAAATGAATTCCCAAGTTTATCAAGACATTTTGCAGGAGAACTTCAGGCCATCTGTCTACCAGCTGAAGCTCAACAGAAGATGGGTGTTGCAACAGGACAATGACCCAAAGCATAGTAGTAAATCAACAACAAAATGGCTTAAGCCCTGTCAGAGGCCTGACCTCAACCCGATTGAGATGCTGTGGCATGACCTCAAGAAAGCGATTCATACCAGACATCCCAAGAATATTGCTGAACTGAAACAGTTCTGAAACAGAATTACTACTGACCGTTGTGCACGTCTGATCTGCAACTACAGGAAACGTTTGGTTGAAGTTATTGCTGCCAAAGGAGGTTCAACCAGTTATTAAATCCAAGGGTTCACATACTTTTTCCACCTGCACTGTGAATGTTTACATGGTGTGTTCAATAAAAACATGGCAACATTTCATTCTTTGTGTGTTATTAGTTTAAGCAGACTGTGATTGTCTATTGTTGTGACTTAGATGATGATCAGATCACATTTTATGACCAATTTGTGCAGAAATCCATATCATTCCAAAGGGTTCACATACTTTTTCTTGCAACTGTGTATATATATATATATATATATATTTATATATATATATATATATATATATAAAAATAAAAAGGTTTTAGGCCCAACCCAGACTTAACCTTTCACATTTTCCTTTTAGGTTCTCAAGTATTAATCATTCTCTGTAGAGAACCCTAACTATTTCATAAGTTAGGTACGTCTCCATTTTACATCCTTCTCCCAATACCCCCACAGACTAGGATTGGTCAACTGGCTTTTATTAATAGCATTTGTCTCTAGCTTACTGTAATTAATCTACTCCCATGAGGCCAACACCCTTCCTCATCTGAGGTATACGCCCCTCGGTCCGACGCATAGCTAGAGCCTCACATTAACCACTGTCGGTTTCTAGTTAGTGCCTCACCAAGTCACACCCAATTATATTATGTTTTGTTACAGTCACCAAGAGGCCAACATTCCCGCCACATCATTCAGTGGTCCCCGCCCACTTGGCCCTTCTCATAGATAGAGCCTCTCTCGCCACTTGGCACTAGCAGGGCTCCAACTTCCTTGTAGGTCAGATAATATTTTTGCCTTAGGCTTAGCTAGAGCCAGTTGACACAGGCATTTCGCTCACAACTATAGGCCTTATCTTTACCCATGTTTTCATTCTTAGTATGTCTCAAATATCTGAACAAGATGAGGAACTGGCTATACCCGAAACCCCAACCAGGCCTTCCACCCCGGTCCAAGCACACCTACCGAGAATCTAGAACCATCCAGCCCATATTCCCTACAGTCATGGACTATCCCTAAGCTCGCAGCTGAATTATGGCACATGGGGGTCCCTTTCCCAGCTACAGCTCGCAAGGCCGAACTCTATAAAATATTTATTTCCAATACCTGTACTCTCCAGTCGAGAGTTGTCCTGCAACCCGACAACTATACCGAAATCAAGGGTTTAATGTCATCTCTCTTTGCCTCTATCAATACGATCAGCGTTAGGCTTCACAAATTGGAATCTCCCCAGACATCGACAGTCATTCCACCCATATTGACCTCCCACGGTAATGACACCACAACAAACCCAATACCGAGCACTTCCACTCACATTATAACGCCTGCCTACTTCATACCCCCGACCATTCATAAAGACATCCTGGAAGGCAAGGACATAAACGTAGTCTCATTGCTGATTGCTGCTCAGGACGTTGTTGAGAACAAGGCATACTGCTATGGTGGTCTTTCGGTTGTTTTAAAAGCCAGAGACCCCAGACTCAACCGGAAGCTTAGTAAAAACAACATTAGAAAAGGCTGCGCCACATAAAATATTAAAAACAGAATAAAAGAAAACAAAGTCCAAATAAAAAGAAGTCCAACTTGTATGTCCTTACGAATAGTCTTTTAAGGAAGCTGGTACAGTGGTAGGGTCTTCAGATATAGTAGTGGTTCCAATTTACAAGAGCTTATATCCAGCTCTAGGGTAAGGCGCATACAGCGGTATAATCCCCGCTTACGGGATATGTAGTGGGTACCTCTCTGTCAATGGTGTCCAGATTTCAGGAAAAAAGAAACAGCCAATAGTGCTCACTGTATAACAGTGTCACTATAAATTAAATAAAAATGTACTTACAAATAGAGAGCAGACAGACTGCTCTGTGATATCAGCATAAGTGGATTAATCCCCACCTAGGATTTCTTGGGGTGCAGGAAGCTTCCAAACAGTTATAAAACCAAAAGGGTAAAAAATAAAATGATAAAAAGCCAGGGTCAAAAATAAGTAAAAAGTTGTGTGTAAAAAAGATAATTGGCACAAACAAATGACCAAATATTCTTTTAATACAAAAATACACAATATAAAATTTCCATAATGCGTTTCGTCAAAAGACTTTTTCAAATGGAATAACATTCAATACCTGGCATATTAGTGTTATATAAGAACACAAGTAATTAGAATATTGGCGCCAAAAATGGTCCAGCCAATCAGATTAAGAATAAATAAGCGAATTTAAAACTCATAAATAACTATATGAGGGGATACTTTATAGTAACCTGACATATATAGAATGTGTTAATAACTAAAATGATGGTGGGAAGATATAGAATTAAACGTTTGAAATCTCCCACGTGATTTTCTGCACTTCCGCATACCGGAAGTAAACCGCACAACCGCATGGGAGATGTAGTTTGTAATGGCCGCGAATGGCGGCCAGGAAACCAGAAGGGAGGAGGGTGTAATTTCTGGCTAAGAGTAGGACATGGCCATCTTGAGAAGGGCAAATAGATGCAAAGGGGCCATATTGGGAATGGCAGGCATGTAAATAAATTTACAAATACATAAAGTCCTATTGTTATTTTTCACCATAAGCATATAAGTTTTGTAATGTAAAATAAAATGATAAACATTGTTAAATAGCAACATTATTTAAAAAAACAGTATTAAAAAAAACACATTATTTTAAAAAACAACAGTAAAAACCTTAAAAAATACAGAGTAAGAACAGGTTAAAGGTACCGGCGCAATCACTCATTGTTATAAAAAGTTATGCAGATCAAAATCTGCATTAAGACCATGGGGTATAAGGGTCTGGAGATTATACACCCATTCCATTTCTGTTTTTCCAAGTAGCTTTTTTATATCTCCTCCACGCCAAGAGGTAGAACATTTTTTTATACCAATACATTTAAGTAGATATGGATCTTTGTTGTGCATAATAAAGTGTTTGGATACTGTATGATTTAAGTATCCATTTTTGATATTTCTGCAATGTTCGCTCAGTCTTATCTTTAAGCACCTTGTGGTCATCCCCACATATTGGAGGCCACATGGGCACTCGAGCAGATAAATTCTTCGTATTGCAACAGATAAAATCATAAATATTATACACTTTTTTTGTCATATTTGACATAAATTGAGTGACTTTAGATGGAACCGAAGAGTCTGTAGTTCTACATACTATACATTGTTTACATTTATAAAAACCTTTCGTCTGAGGAAAAAAGAAAAGTTCTTGGTAGGGGATTCCTTAGTAAAATTGGTAGTTAGCATAGATTTAAAATTAGGTGCTCCTCTAAAAACAATATTTGGGTGTGTTGGTATAATTGGATTGAGTATCTCATCATGTTTGAGTATATGCCAAAGCTTTTTTATTATTTTTTAACATCATTGCTTTTATTGTTAAAATTGAAAATCACAGGAAGGGATATTGGTTCATTATTTTCTTTATTTTTGTAAATCAAGAGGTCTTGCGTTCTTTTTGTTTTACTATATTAATTGTATTATTTAAATCTGATTCTAAATAGTTTTTTTCCATAAATTTGTTTTTTAAAAACTCGGCTTGTTCATTAAAATCTGTGATTTCTGAGCAGTTCCTGCAAAGGCGCAAGAATTGGCTCTTTGGGGCATTCTCAAGCCAGGGCTTATAGTGGCAACTAGATTTATCTATAGCCGTATTTACACACACCTTTTTAAAAAATGTTTTTGTTTGAAGTTGTCCTTCATTAATAAAAATATTAAGATCTAAAAAATTGATGGATTCCTTGTGTGAGAATAATACCCCTATTATTAATATTTAGATTATTAATAAAAGCAATAAGATTATCTTCTGTTCCCTCCCAGATAAAAAACAGGTTGTCTATATATCTAAAGTATGACACTAGGTTTGCCCGCCATGCGTGGTTACCCCAAATTGCTTGGGTTTACCAGTCTGCCATAAATAAATTGCCGTAACTAGGAGCAAACTAGTCCCCATAGGAGTACCCCTCTTTTGTAAGTAGAATTAATCTAAAAACCAAAAATAATAGTTTTTAAAATGATATTTATACCTTCCATTATAAAATCAATTTGGGTGGCAGGAATTTTAGCTTCTGAGGTTAGAATCTCTTTTATAGCCTGGCATCCTATATCATGGGGGATGATAGTATAAAGGGACTGAACGTCACAGGTAACCAGTATAAAATTCGATTTCCAAGTAAAATTATTTAAAAATTTTAAAAGTGACATAGAGTCTTTCAAGTAGGATTTCATAAGTTTGACAGAAGGCTGGAGAAGAGTATCAATATATTGGGAAAGGTTACACAAAAGGGAACCTATCCCAGAAACAATTGGTCTTCCTGGGGGTTGCTGTTCATTTTTATGAATTTTGGGAAAAAAATAAATTACAGGAGTAATAGGGAATTCTTTATTTAAAAAATTAAATTCGTGTTTGTTTAAAATATTTAGGTGCAAACCTTTATTTAAAAAAGTAGATAAAATGGTTTGTATATTTTTTTGTGGGATCAGATAAGAGTTTTTCGTATACATTTATATCTTTCAATTGCCTATGGGCTTCATCTATATACATTTTACTGGACTGGATAACTACTCCGCCACCTTTGTCGGCTGGTTTTATAATGATATCTTTATCTTTTTGAAGTTCTTTAATTGCCTTCCTTTCAACATTTGTAAGGTTATTAAAATCATATTTTTTGTATTTTCAAGATCTTTTTGATCAAGTTTTTCAAATAAGATCAAAGGGACGATTTACAATAAGATGGGTAGAACTTAGATTTTTCTCTAAGATGAGTATTTATAAAAGATCCTTCATCTATTTGTGGTGAAGGAGGTGGGATTGATGCTTCATCTTTTTTACTAATAAAAAATCTTTTTAGTGTAGCTTTTCAAACAAATTTATTTACATCAAGAAACGCTTGAAATGGGTTGAATGAAGAGGTAGGAGCAAATTTGAGACCTTTGTTTAAAACAGACAAATTACCAAAAAATTATACTGCACTCAAAAATTGCTTTAGATAAAGTTCATTGCTTTATTTAATAATTCATAATGGTATTGTATAGACATAATTCATAAATTGCAAAAAATTGTAGAAATAAATAATTTGATAATATATACATAATCCCGAGCGTGCAGCCCATCAAGAAGACCCGATATCAGCAGATTGGAGATAAGAGTCCGGTACCCCCAGGAAGACACACTCATATACAATTTGAGGAAAACCACAGAGATCCACCACAATGCACATTTGAAGAAGCTTCAAAATAGGACTTACAACCTTGGAGAATATGGTGAAATCCACCCATATACTATAGTGTGCACACTGGGACTGTATATACCCCCTTTTTTGCTTACTTTTTTCTTATTTTGCACTTTTTCTTTTTTTCACTTTTTTCATATTTTGTCATGTTTTTCTTTTTCTATTTTTTCCTCTTTTTCTCTTTTTTCTTTTTTTTTATCCCTCTTTTTGGATGGGACCCTTGGACTCTAGGATACAGTTAAAGCAGCATTATCTGGATAATTCATAATTCTGTGATTAGGGATCTTTAGTAACATGGAGTTATGTGTATAGGTTTACAATGAATTGTTTCCATTAGGATATATTGTTTGATTTCAGAGTGTATATATTATCAAATTATTTATTTCTCCAATTTTTGCAATTAATGAATTATGTCTATACAATACCATTATGAATTATTAAATGAAGCAATGAACTTTATCTAAAGCAATTTCTTGAGTGCAGTATCATTTTTTGGTAGTTTGCATTTTTGAGGTCATTGGGCCACCCTGATACTTTGCACCAATATAGGTGAAAGAGTGCCGGTGCATAGAATTTTTTGTTAAAACAGACAATTGTGCAGCTGACAAAACTTTTTGAGAGAGATTGAAAATACCACTGCAGGGATCTTTAGGGGATATTATTGTCTTTCCAATCTTTCCCTTTTGCTCCCGTCTTCCACTTCGTCTTCCTCTAAACTTAGGATTCTTTTTTGGGAACGTGATGGGTGCGGTGTTTGGACTAATGAGGGCTGGTGAGTACGTATTTCTAAAAAATGATCTTCATTATCGAAATCTGAATCTACTGACAATAACTGGTACCTGTTAGAGTGATTGGGGATAGTAGGTGATTTGGAGTAGGTAGAATATTCAATGTGATCATTCATATACCGTGATCTTTGAGGTTTGGGTGAAACGTTGAAACCAGAAGAGTTATGGTATTTAGGAGATTGTGGTACAGGTTTATAAGTGTGGTGAAAGGATTTTCTTTGTTTATATGAGGGTAGTTGGTATGTGTTGGTGTTAACTTGATATGGTAATTTGGAGGAAGTGTGGTATTGGTGAACTGACGTTTTAGGAGGTCTTATTGTGGAAGGGGACTGGTAGTGAGATTTACGTGTGACATAATTATGATATTTGGAGGGTTGTTGATATGATGTGTGGGTGAGTGTGCATTTGATTCTTTTGATCGTGGTAGTTGGTTCTAGAGGGGTAATTTTCTGAAGTGTACTTCTTTTGAAATGGTAAGTTCTCACTTGTTTATTTGAATAATCAGTTTTATCTCTGATGTACTTTTTGATTTTCAAGTGTTTTGTGTCGACTTCAACTTTTTCAATTTTGTTTTGAATTAATATAGAATTTTGTTTATATGCCTTGGTTTCGGTAAATGGTAAGAGTTTCTCTCTAAGAGTATTTATTTCAATGTCTAAAATAGACAGTTTCTTGCTTTTTTTTGACTATTAGCGTTTCTATCAAACCAAAGGTACATAACTCTAATTTGTTATTCCATTCCTCCATAAATTCAAGGTCATCTTGGTCAGAGGTGGGTAGTTTTAGGAGTCTTAAACCACGGGGAGTGATCTGCTCATCTATATATTTTTTAAAAGTAGCAATTTCCCATTTAAGCTTAATTTCTGTGGCTAAGGCTCTCTATTTGTAAGTACGTTTTTATTTAATTTATACTGACACTGTTATACAGTGAGCACTATTAGCTGTTTCTTTTTTCCTGAGAACTGGACACCATTGACAGAGAGGTACCCACTACATATCCCATAAGCGGGGATTATACCGCTGTACGCGCCTTACCCTAGAGCTGGATATAAGCTCTTGTAAATTGGAACCACTACTATATCTGAAGACCCTACCACTGTACCAGCTTCCTTAAAAGACTATTCGTAAGGACATATAAGTTGGACTTCTTTTTATTTGGACTTTGTTTTCTTTTATTCTGTTTTTAATATTTTATGTGGCGCAGCCTTTTCTATTGTTGCTTTTACTTGTCTTGTTTTAAAAGGTTTTGAGGGATTCCCCTTTAAGGGTTGCTGCCTATTGGTTGACTAGCGCTGTCTCATCCATTTATCATTACTATTATCAACCGAAAGCTTACCATACCCGAATTTGTCCTTGTCTTTTGGCCTTTATCGCGACGTAATCTGTTCCATTTCCCCTCAGCATAGGGAGGAGTTGGATTTGTACATGCATAAGTTGGTGGACCTAGGGCACAAGTATGGTGGGTTCTCATTTTATGACTATCATAAATCTTTTTCGGCTAAAGCAGCGGCATCCCTCACCCAGTTTAATACCCACACCAACTGGAGTAAGCTTGACACAGAACTATTCTGTCTCAATTTTGCCGGTCAAAAACCACCATCTTTTGCCTTGTGTGCCTCCATCTCACACTCCACTAACTTGTGCCCAGTCGATCCTATTCTTCCTACCACTTAGTCGTGCTTCCTTCGGTTCTTCCACTGCAGAACACAGAGGACTTAAAGGCAAATTGGGTAGACCCATAGTATACCTAGTGAATGCTCAAATCTGCAACAACTTTAATTCTGGCAGTTGTGGTTTTAGTGCGTGCAGATTGTTGAACGTCTGCTCAATTTGTTTCAGGGCACACACAAAAACTGTGTCCTAATCGTCTGTACCCAATACAATGACTAACCTAAGTTAGCATTGACAACCTGGCATTTTACCTCCAGGCACATCCTTCCCATCACCTAGTCGACTTCTTGGTCAAGGGGTTCACCGACAGTTTCCACACTGGCCTTGTCACACTCCCCACTGATATTCACGAATGTTCTAACCTACAGTCTGCCCTTCTTGACCCTGTCAGCACAGAGTTCCTGCTACATTGGATGATGCCATTCTGAGGGCTGGCATATAAGCTTCGTTAGGGAAAACCGATGTTTCCAACGCATTCAAACTCCTACCCATACAACCATCCCTGTGGCATGTGCATGGCATTCATTGGGAAAATAAGTACTACTTCACAACTCGTTTAACCTTTGAGGCTAAAAGTAGTCCAAAATTGTTTGACATTTTTGCAGACACGTTATGTTGGCTGTTCCTCAACATTGCTGAATGCCCCTCAGTCTTACATTATCTGGATGACTTTCTTACCATAGAATTACCTCAGTCCTCTCCCGTCAGTATTCATAAAACACTGCCTCTATTTTCAGCATTAGGTGTTCCGCTGTCACAGGAGAAAACAGTAGGCCCTACGACCAATCTGACCTTCCTGGGAATCCACCTAGACACTGTCTTATTACAAGCTAGTTTACCGATAGAGAAGGTACAGCAGATCATCACGTTGAACTTCACCATGAAAACTATTCCACAAGGCCAGGCTTTTATTTCTAGATTAATGTGCCTTTTTCATCTTCTTCATACCGACACTAGCTCCATAACCCTAGACACACACGCTAAGGCAGACTTACACATGTGGTTTAGGTTTCTTTCACTTTGGAATAGGAAAGCAATGTTCCTTATACCCTTATCAGACTCTTCCCCGGTCATATGGGCCGATGCCACAACTCATACAGGGTTTGCAGCCATCTTTGGCGACTCCTGGTTTAGAGATTTCTGGCCAGTTCAGACCCACAGTCTACCCACATTCCACACTACATCTGCCCTATTTGAAATTTACCCGATAGTGGCAGCCTCCAAAGCATGGGGGCACCTGTGGCTTCTCTGATAATAAAGCAGCATGCGACATCATAAATAAAGGCAGATCTTTATCACTTACCATCATGAGACTAATTCGACGACTGACATGGTTAGCAGCTATGCTGCAATTCCACATTACATGCATACATGTCCCAGGACACACCAATACAGCTGCTGACGCATTGTCTCAATTTAAATGACAGGTTTTCTTCAGAGCCCATCCCAAAGCCAACATCAGTCCAGTCAGCACCCCTTCATACCAAGACCTCATCCTGGACTAGAAAGACTCTTATCACACAGCAGATATCTTGCCAGCTCAGCCCTCTCTACCAGACAACACGGGCATACGATATAGCATTTATCCTTTACACCAAATTCACGGTAGATTACCAGATAAAGGACACACATTCGCTAGACTCAATAGTAGCGTTTATCTCCCTTTGCCACCTTAACTTACCTTAAATAATCACTAAACACAATAAAACTCTATCTCACGGGAATTCAACATCACATCCCAAGTGCCTACCATAGTACAAGCCCCTTTGGATCTATCTATCCCGTTAAGAACAATAATTAGAAAAACCCACTACCAGGCATCCTATTAATGGACCTAAATTTCACGCACTTTCAGACATTATGGACAACAATCCATTCTAAACCAACACTAATCTGGTTATCAAAACGGCAGCTTGTCTAGCCTTCTATGGATTCTTGCAACCAAATTAATTCACTACCAATAACATCACGTCTAACCACTTGCACCTTAAAATTACGAACCTTAAAAAAGATTCTGACTATTACGTGGTTATCATCGAACACACCAAAACAAATCAGCTAGGCCCACCTACTAAAGTCTGCTATTATTCCACCGATAACCCATGGTGTGCGGTTAGATTATTTGACACATATCGTTCTGCACTTGCTGGTCTTAATCCTAATACGCTACTACTTTCATTACATGGTAATCTTCTGACCACTAAGAAGTTCATATACTACATCAGAACTGTTTATTAGAATCGGTCTCGACCCCTCAGGTTTTTCTTGCCACTCATTCAGAATCGGAGCCGCTTCAGTGGCTTCAAGCCACAACGTCCCTGCTCATATAATTAAAAGACTGGGACGGTGGAAATCAGCAGCATACACCAGTTATATTCCACAACCAGAACAGGAATTGAGATTAGGCTTCCGATGCTCTGTCTATACTGAGTGCCTCGAGGGGTAAAGGCACTCAGTATATAAACAAAAAAATAAATAATTTAATTTAAAAAATTAACCCCTACCCGCCCTCCCACTCCTTCTCCCATGCACTTACCAATCGCTGCGTTCCCCTGCAGGCGATCGATCTTCTTCTTTGGGGGAACCTCTGGACTGAGCCCAGAGAGTCCCTCTCTCCAATTTAGGACCTGCAGGGGGCATGTGACCGCTCTAAAAGAGTACTGCCAGCAGGGGGACTGCCTGAACTGACAGGCAGTCCCCTTGCTGGTTGAAAAGTAAAAATAAAGCTAGTAAAAGTAAAAAAAATTTTTTTTTTAAATATAGTTAATAAATTTTAAAAAAATGTTTATGTATAGTGTATACATATATTATATCTATATATAATATGTATCTCTATATATCCTATATGTCATACTAAGTGTATTTTTTATTAATATATACATATTAATATAAAAATACACAGAGTAAAATTACACACACATAACTATATATAATGTATATATACACATTATAATAAATAATAAAAAATAAACTAAAAATAATTTAATTTTTTTTATATATATGTAATTTTATTCTAACTGTATTTTGATATGAATATATATATATATATATATATATATATATAAATACACTTAGAATGAAATGATATATATATCTGTATATCCCCTTAACGACCGTGGATGTACTATGTACGTCCGACAAAAAAAAACAGTTGTAAAGGACCACGGACATACCTAGTATGCCTGCGGCAAATAGGAGCCCTGGAATTACCTGGACCGTCGATCCGCGGCGATCGCGGTTGGGTGTGGGGGGAGGAATGCCGGAGACCCCAGCAGCTCCGGCCACCCCGGCACTCCAGGGCCATGTGATCACCATGATCACATCGCAGCTATAGGAGTCTAGGAGCAGCGAGCAGGGGGATTGTCCGAGTCCCCCAGGCTGCTAAAAAGTAAACCAATTAAATAAATATTTTATACATACATATGTATAAAATAATTAAAGCATTTTATAATATATTAGACATATATAATTTCATTATAAGTGTACTTTGAGATATATACATATATATCTCAAAATACACTTATAATGAAATCATATTTAGGCATTATATATCTATAATATATTATAAAATGCTTTAATTATAATATATTATACATATATAGGAAATAAGTGTGTGTATATATATTTATATATAAACGCACACACACTCACATATTAAATACTAACATATTATATATATGTGTGTATATATATATATATATATATATATACACGTATTGTGCGTGTGTATATATATATATATACATATATATATATATATATATATATATATATGTATATATATATATATACACACACACACATACACACACATATTATATATTTATATATTAAATAAATTGGGGAACATTTTTTTCTTTTTTTTTATAAAAAACAAATAAAAACGCTAACTTTGGCCAGCGTTTGTGACTAAGTGGCTACTACAAAAGACTGGACATACACCATTTGGAATACCCTGGGTTGTCTACATTTGAAAATAATATTCCATGATGGGGTTATTTCACATTCCTGGGCTACCATACGATCTTAAAAGACAAAACAGACTCAGCTACCCAATCTGGCAAACTGAATTGGGCAAGCCCTATATTGACCCTGTAACTTTCCAAAACACCATAAAACCTGTATATGAGGGGTATTGTTATACTCGGGAGACTTCGCTGAACACAAATATAAGCGTTTCCAACAGTAAAACCTATCACAACGATGAAATTACCGGTAAAAGTGCAGTTTTTGTGTAAAAAAAAAAAGCAAAAAACAAATATGAACGCTAACTTTGGCAAGCGTTTATGGCTACTACAAACGACTGGACATACCCCATTTTGAATACTGCGGGTTGTCTACGTTTACAAATGGTATGCCATGATAGGGTTAATTTTCATTCCTGGGCTGCTATACGGTCTCAAAGGCAAAATAGGCCCAGCAAACCAATCTGGCAAATTTCAATGTGCAAAGATGGAAAAGGGGAAAGCCGTACATTTGACCCCTGTAGGTTTGCAAAAACCCATAAGACCTGTACATTAAGGGGCACTGTTGTACTCGGGAGATGTTGCTGAACACATATTGTGGTGTTCTTTTACAGTAATACATAACAGGAGCTGAGAATCCATGCCTAAAGTACAATGTGTGTGAAAAATAACACAAAAGAATTACTACCCAAAAGGTTGGCAAAGACTGGTGGTAGAATTAGTGCATGGAAAGTGTTAAAATACCACCATTTGAAACACCCTAGCGTGTCTACTTTTCAAAAATATATGGTTTGATGGGGGTAAATTACATTGGTCGGCTTAAAAAATGTCCCAAATAGGACATGGGTGCATGATGACCAGCTGTGAAAATTCCAAGTTGGAAAACTGTAATGCACACCCTCCAAATAAGGTATTTTAGCTCCCAGAGAACCCGACACACCTATACATGGGGGGTATCACTGTACTCAGGAGATGTTGCTGAACACATATTGGGGTGTTCTTTGGCAGTAACCCTTAACGTTCTCAGTACATGTATTCTTTTTTTTTTTTGGCATAGATTGGTGGTAAAATGGTTGCATGAAAAGAGTCAAAATACCCCAAGTTTATTACCTTAGGTTGTCTTCTTTTAAGAAATATATACATGTGAAGGGTTATTCATGGATTCCTGACAGATACCAGTGTTACAATGTAACTTGCGATAATTTTGAAAAAAAATGGTTTGGAAATAGCAGTGTGCTACTTGTAAGTATAGCCCTACAACTTTCCATAAAATGCTAAGAACATGTTAACATTTCTAAACTCAGGACAAAATGTAGAAACTATTTAGCATGGGTGTTTTTTGGCGGTTGTAGATGCGTAACAGATTTTGGGGGTCAAAGTTTGAAAAAGTGTGTTTTTTTTAAAATTTTCAGCATTTTTTATAGTAAATTATATGATGAAAAGAATGGTATCTTTAGAAAGACCATTTAATAGCGAGAAAAACAGTATATAATATGTGTGGGTACAGTAAATGGGCAAGAGGAAAATTACAGCTAAACACAAACACCGCAGAAATTTAAAAAGTACCATGGTCCTTAACGGTAAGAAAATCGAAAAACGGTCTGGTCACTAAGGGGTTAAATGTCTAGCTGTGTAACATATGTGTAATAAAGTTTATTGGTTTACATCAAACTTTTTGCCCTTTTTTTATACAGGCCTACCCCATATGACGGTTCCGGCACACCACAACCGACTGGTGCTCACTTTTGTTGTTATTATCTTACTATTACGTTTTATGTCTCCAACTACAAATAAGAAGGCATAACCTGTGTTACGAACGCTTGTAGTTATGGTACCTTGTTTCTCCTACTCCTCCCGAACTGCTGAGCCTTAGTGATTATAGCTGCAGTTCAGGTGTAGTTATGAATAGTTCCAGACGAATGCAGCTTCCAAGACGTTTCTCCCCAGCCAGTAGACAGTTACCCAAACATGAGCCTAGACTTCATGAAGGGTACAACAGGAATGAAGGTTTATTGATGCCACACTGGCTTTTATGCTAGTCCCCATGCAAGGGGAAATCCCACCTGGACCTTGTTGGGCACCAGGACATAAAAGTTACAACCAATAGAATTACATCGACAAAGTGAACACTCCCACTGCAAACATACAATCCCCTCCTCTCTGCCTGTGAGATAATTAGGTAAGCTAAAGGATAACTCAATTATCTCCAGGTAGAAAAAAACATTTTCTCCAAAACTTAGAATGTACCCTAAAACACATGGTATCCCCATAAATGCCATATCCCCTGATAGCCCTGATTTGAGTGACCAACATATTCAAAAATCACCCAGATCTATTCAGGGGTTTTCGAAAAGAATGGAAGTCTTATTTTACCGACCGCACACGAGGCTTCTGCCCAAAACAGTTCAGTGAATTCAGTATGTGCGGTCAGTCTGTTTCGATAAAGTCAAATAAGCGAATGAAAGCACGAACTAAGCCCCCTGTCTCATAGGAGCGAATGTTCCCCTTGTTCGTGGGAACTAAACTACAGAACGGCGCTCTCCTAGCTGTTCGTGGAAAGGAAGCAGGCATTCGTATGTTTTTAGCGGTGTTCGGGAAGTCGAGTTTACGATTTTAGTTCTAGACACTCGACGACCAAGTCCTGCTGCCTCCTTTCATGAAAACAAAATGGCCTCCCAGAGAGAGCGCTCAATTGACAGTTCCCTTTGTAGATAATGAGCCAGGAGGGTGGTGGTGTTCAGTAGTTTAATCTACCAAACAAATAAAACATAAAAATTACGAATGGCTTTACTATTTTCTTCATAGCCTATAATTGTGGAAGGGGTTACCCGGCTATAAAACTCAGGCCCTCCCCATATCAGAACCGTCACCGCTAGGTTCATCCCTCCCTCTTCTACCACTCTTTACAATTTATTGGGTAGGCCCTCTTGTTGTTATTATCTTACTATTATGGCTTTTGTCCCCGACTACAATTGTAGTTTTATGGGGTAATTTGTGATTTGTAGTTATACAATGAAATTTGCGAAAATTGGCATATGAATATAATAACAAATAATAACAAATAACACCCCACAATGAGCAGGATAAGCAGCAGCAACCCTATGATTGCCTTCCACATTATGCTGTGTTCAGTTTACCATCCTTAAGGTGTAATATGTACCCCATGTGGCTGCTTACCTTTGCTCTTTGCTCACTCGTAAAATGAGGTGAAGTTGCTTAATTTAATCCACAACTAAGATAATACAATCATGGAAAAAACATACATTTAATGATGTAGTGTACTTACCTGTCTTATTGGGTGTCTCATAATGCACTCAGATTAAGCAGTTCAGGTCACTCAATGTTTTTAGTGGTTCATCTGTGAACCATGATAGTAGTATTTTGTTAGAATGGGATTGGTGTGGCAAAGGAACCAGATTTATAATGCAACATGTTGCAAAAACGACAAAAGTTTGAACATGCAAAAAATACAGCATACTAATGTGGCTACAATAAAGCATATTCATGAGGTAAAATGCATTAAGTGACACTATACTTTTGAAAATAACAATCTATATGTTACCTTATAATGAAGTGATCACTGTCCACTCCTGTTTGCTCAGTAAAATTTAAGTAAAAAAAAGATTACCTTGTTTCAAGCATACATTCGCTTCTGTAATCTCCACATTCTCGTCTGTTAATGTCATCATACAAGTGAACATCATTCGCCATCTCCTCCATTTCATTGCTTCTCATAGAGAAGCAATGGAATAGAACTAGGCATGCGTGGCCAAGCACTGTTGTTCTCCAATAACATTCTGCTATCAGCAACATTTGATGGAAGAAGAACTTCTAGTGGCAGCCACAAGAAGTGTAGTTAACCCTGAAATTTAAACATTGCATTTTCTACAAAAATTGCACAGTTAATTGACAGGACCAATGCACCCAGACCACTGCATTAAGACTGAGTCGTAAGGATGACTTTAGTGGTTCTTTAAAGCTGTGTTAGTTTCCATTGTGTGACTTTAACCATTTTCTGATTGCAGTTAGCATTTTCAACCAATAATAGCATTGCATTGTGTAATTTTCTGTTTCAAATGCAAATGTCTTATTTACTATACAGTTTGCTCATGTGTCTCATTTGTAACTTACAACAGGGTTCAAAAACTGGATTGAGTCAGTTGTTGCATGGAGGCCCAGGTATGTCACCAAAAGTCCTTTTTTACATATTTACTTTACAGTCTTTACTATTTTAGTGTTCTGCATTTCTAATGAAAAACTAAAATAAGCATTATTTCCAGTCAAATAATAATTTATTTTAAATTGTTTGATTACAGGTATGAAAGCTGTGCATACATCAGAAAGACCACGTGCACATCTAACAGGTAATATAAATAGCTGATTAGTTGTGAGCTCACTTTTTCTCAATTTTAAATATTCACTTTTGAGATTGAAATAGCATTACCATCCAAATGCATTTTTTTAATTTTTTTTTTTAACTTATGCACATGATAAACAGGGCATCCTAACCCTCTTCCTGACTTTAGGACGTGCAATGACTACAAAAGAAGAGCTTTAATGTTGTTAGGGCAGTATAGCATATACTAACAATCGTACCATCCCTCTACCCTACTTACTGGATCCGATTGGGGGAACTGCCTGACAACTCAGGTAGTCCCCCTACAGCCAATCTCTCTGATCCGATCAGAGGTTGCCAGACAGATCCTTCAATATATAATAAATAATATAACAAATTACATATACATAATTCCTAAATACAGTTTTATATAATATATATATATATATATATATATATTCATTCTAAGTGTGTTTTGATATTAATATAAGTGTACACTGTACAGTATATATATTAATATTAAAATACATTCATATATGGAATTTTATTCTAAGAGTATTTTGATAATCTCATGTGTATAATTATATATATTCATATCAAAATAGAAGTAGAATTTTATATATATATATATACCCCGTATTTTTTGGCATATAAGATGACTGGGCGTATAAGACGACCCACAACTTTTCCAGTTAAAATATAGAGTTTGGGATATACTCGCCGTATAAGACTACCCCTCTTCCAATGCACACCAAATAAAAATTAGCCATGATGTACAGTGAGCAGACAGAGATACACAGCAAGACATTAAATAATGATAATCTGAAATAGCATTTAAAGCCCAGGTATGTGCCAGGCTGTTTGGGCATATAATCCATGCCTGTTGGTCTAGCACACAGGAGGCTAATTGCGATATATTCTTTTTACTACCCCCCCTCCATTCTTTTTACTCCCCCCCTCCATTCTTTTTACTCCCCCTCCCCCCATCCTCCCTACATTCTTCTCACCTCCCCTTCCCTGTGCAGAGTGGGTGGCTGAGCTCCTCTTCGTCCTGTCAGTCCTGTCAGTAGCAATCTCCTGTTCCGCGCGGTACCCGGCCGGAATGAAAGGAAGTGAGCACTCAGTGCGCACTTCCTTTCAGTCCGGCCGGGAACAGGTAACTGAATCTCCTGTACTGTGCGGTACCCGGCCGGACTGACAGGACGAAGAGGAGCTCGGCCACCCACTCTGCACAGGGAAGGGGAGGTGAGAAGAGAGGCAGTGCGGCAGCTGTCTGAGCGCTCTCTATAGAACTGCAGCTATATAGACCCTATACCCGGCGTATAAGACGACCCCGACTTTGGAGAAGATTTTCCACGGTTAAAAAGTCATCTTATACGCCAGAAAATACTGTATATATATATATATATATTGTAGATGGGATTAGTCCCGTAGACAAGATACCAGAGTATTGCAGTATGCAATAATACCTTTTTATTGGACTAACATAATATTTCAAAGACAGGCTTTCAAGTGTTTTTTGTTATCTTCCTCAGGTCTGAAGCAATACAGATCAATTTGATAGAGTTTAACACTTAAAATAACTGATGTTAGAGAAGGGGAGGGAGGGCGGGGTGAGTGGAGTGTCATAAATAGCAGAAGATGTGTCCGAAAGTGAAAGGTGCAGGTTGGCTGAGAATAGCCAGAAAAGGAAATAAAAACAGAGGAGAGTCAATAAGCTAGTTTGAAAAAATAAATAAATAAATAAAAACATGAAAACAGCAGAGCAGGGCATGCAATTATAAAGCTGCGTATATGTATGTATATAAATTGATCCAATAAAGGTAAAGCGAGAATATTAAAAAAAAAACTATAATTAACGTGTGTCTATAAAAAGTTTTGGTAGTGTGGGAGAAAGCCAAAGTCCACATTAAGCCCTTAAGGACGGGTGACGGACGAGGTCCGTTACAGAGGGGAGACCCTTAATGACGAGTGACGGACCTCGTCCGTCACGCGGTAAAATTAACCCCGGATCGCGGCGATCGCGGGGTTAATGGTGCTCCTGTATGCCTCTGCATTAGAGGCATACCGGGAGCAACCGGTCAGGCTGCCCAGCACATGTCCTCGCTCTGACCGCAAGTCAGAGCGAGCACATGTGCTCTGTATACTTACCTTCCGACTCCCTGCACTTCCTGGTTCTGTGCGAAGTGCAGGGAGCCGGAACAGTGCTGATCCTGCCCCCTGCTGTAAAAAAAAAAAAAGTTAATTTAAAGTCCCACCCCCCCTTTACCCATTTTAATAAAAAAATAACATCTTCCCTGCCAATTGATCACTGACTACAGTGATCAATTGGCAGGGATTACATTTTACTATGATCTGATTTTTTTTTTAACCCTCAGGGGATAAATTTATTTAATTAATTAAAATATTTTAAAATTATATATTTAGCTAGCTGGGGTGGGTGGAAGTTAGTGGGGAATTGGGGGATTTGGCATTAGGCTAACTAGGGGTTAACGTTAAAAAAGGTTTTAAAATAAACTTTAAAAAGTTAAAAATTAAGCTTAAAAAAGTTTTAATAACGTTTAAGTAAAAAATAAAAAAACACCCCCCTTTACCTAGTCCAAATAAAAATTAACCCTTTCCCTGCCAGTTGATCACTGCCTACAGCGATCAAATACAGATCACAGTATTATACTGTGATCTAATTTTTTTTAACCCCTGAGGATTAACTTTTATTTATTTTTTAACCTTCAGGGGTTCAATTTATTTAATTAATTAATTAATTTAAATATTTTATAACTATATATTTTGCTACCTGGGGTGGGTGGGAATTATGGGAAAATGGGGAATTTACTGTTAGTGCTGCTTACTGCTAGTTAGGGGTTAACGGTAAAAAAAAAGCTTCGAAAAAATTTAAATCTGTAAAAAAGGTTTAAGAAAGTTTAGTAAAGTTTAAAAAAAAATTAATAATCAAAACAAAAGTTTAAAAACTAGTTTTTAAAAGTAAAAAAGTTAAAAAAAGTAAAAAAAAAAAATACATTTTAAAAACGCTCATTACCACTACACCTGGAACAAAACTAGAGAAAAAATTATCCCACGCCAAGGTTCAAAATATGCCTTTTGAATTACCCCATAGTGTATTCTTTAATAAATAGTATGTGTTTGTGGGAAAGTTTCAAAAACCAACTATCTAAACTACTCCAAATTGGAACATGGACACAGCGTAAAATTTCAAAGTTAGAAAAAAACTGAATGGCTGTGTCTCAAATGCGCCCCTTCAACATCCACATATACCTGGCAAAGGTACATACTACACTACACTTGGTACAAGCTAGCGGAAAAATGATCCCACGCTAAGGTTCAAAATATGCCTTTTGAAATACCCTGGGATGTCTTCTTTAAGAAATGGTATGGCTTTATGGGGTATTTAGTTTATATAGCCTGGTAAAATACTCTAAAATGGGACATAGGCACAGCATAAAAATTCAAAGTTTGAAAAAAACTGGAATGGCTGTGTCCCAAATGTCCCCCTCCGATGTCCACACATACCTGGCAAAGGTACATACGGGGATATTGCTGTACTCAGCCGACATAGCTGAGCAACATATGAAGTATTATACAGTCATAGCACACATAAGGTTTGCAAAATATACTGTGCAAACTCACTTTGGATGTCAAAAAGGCAGAAAAAAACACTTATTACCACTACATCTGGTACAAGCTAGCGGAAAAATGATCCCACGCTAAGGTTCAAAATATATATTTTTAAACACCCTGGGGTGTCTACTCTAAGATATGGTAGGCCTTTGTGGGGTAGTTTGAATTTAAAACCTGCGAAGATGCTTGGAAATTGCACATAGGCCCAGCGTCAAAATTCAAAGTTTGGTAAAAACGGATATGGCTTGGTCTCCTATATGGCACTGTAGCTTCACGAAATAGTGCCAAAGACATTCATTGGGGGTGTCTTTTTACTCAGAAGACTTAGCTGAGCATAATTTGGGAGGTTTGAACTTAGTGGCACATATGAAATATACAAAACGCCCAGCAAAAATGCAATCCGTATGTAAAAAATGCACAAAATTATTTTTTACCACATACTTTGGCATATATTGGTGAAAAAATGGGGGTATGTTAAGGCACAATATGCACCTTATGAGATACCCTGGAGTGTCTACTTTTACAAATGGTAGGCCTTTGTGGGGGTTTTTTGAACAGTCAAACTGTTTTAATACCTGAAATGGAACCTAAGGCTCATTAAATCCATCTCTCAAAATTCTACTGTGAATACTGAAAAGGACAGGTATCCTGTATGGCACTGTAACTTCACGAAATAGTGCCAAAGACATACAATGGGGGTGTCATTTTACTCAGCATATGTAACTGAACACAAAATAAAACTTTGTACAGGAATAGCATACACCAACTTTACAAAATATACACGTGAATTTCTTTGTTATAAGTTTGTGTGCCAAAAACCAAACAAAACACAATTTTACTCCAATATTTAGCAGAGGTTGGTGGTGAAATGGCTATGTAGAAAGTGTCAAAACAACCTTAGGTAAATAGCCTGTGATGTCTACTTTATATAAATATATACTTTTGTGTGGCAATTTTGTTTTCTTTTATGGCTATTAAGCTTACAAGACAAACATACCAAATTCTAAAATCGCTCCACATTAAAAGTCTATTTTACTCCTTGTGCTTTGTGACCTGTAACTACCAAAAAAACTTAAAATCCCAGACACATTATATATTCTGTAAATCAGAACAACTAAATTAATTTATTTTTAATTACTTTTCTTCACCTGCACTAATTATGCACACATTATTATTGCAAAAACTGTAAAAAAAAACACAAAATTTTCATTTTTTTTACATTTTTCTGTATTTTTTTAAAAATAAATAAGCATTTATATATATATATATATATGTGTGTTACATCAAATAAAGCCCTTTCTGTCCTTTAAAAAATGATGTATAATATGTGTTGGTGCAACAAATTAGTAAAATGCAAATTGCAGTTGAAGCAAACAGCAAAAAATGAAAAAAATGCTGTTGTCATTAAGTGAAAGACAAGCTTTTGAAGCTCTGTCCTTAAGGGGTTAAGTTCTTAATTTCTGTTGTTGAAATGTGTGATCATCATCTCAAACGTCTTTCGTTCATGAGAGTCTTTGAAATTCCCTTTAAAGGGACACTGTAGGCAACCAGACCAGTTCAGCTAATTGAAGTGTTTACATTGCAGCTCTAAGTCTGCCCTCTGTGACTGTCTACCAGACAGCCACGGGGGGCGCTTCTGGATTCGTAACGGACTTTTGGTCCGTTATCTGACTCTGGACGTCCTCACGGACTTCGAGCGTCAGATTTTCACCGTAGGAAAGCATTGAATAATGCTTTTCTGTGGGGAGCTTTAATGCGCATGCAGCCATTGCCGCGCATACGCATTAGGTCTCCCCTGCCAGCTGACGTCAGCGAGGGAGGAGCATGGGCGGAGCCTGACCCAGTGCTGAGGGACATCGGCGCTGGATTCAGGTAAGTAGCTGAAGGGGTTTTAAATAACTGGCCTTAAGCTGAGAATCTCAGAATGAATCTACACAGACACTCAACCAAGAACCACAAGGAAAAACAGATATTGTACCCCTGTTGGTCATCACTTCACCTAGACTGGTCACTCCATCCAAAACCTCAGGATTAAAGTTCTTAAGGGAATTTCAAAGACTCTCATGACCGAAAGACATTTGAGATGAAAATGATTACACATTTCAACACCAGAAATTAAGAACTTAATGTAGACTCTGGCTTTTTCCCACGCTACCAAAACGTTTTATAGACACACGTTATAGTTTTTTTTTTTTTTTATATTCTCACTACACTTTTATTGGATCAATTTATATACATATATATATACAGCTTTATACTTGCATGCCCTGCTCAGCTGTTTTCGTGGGGGTTTTTTTGTTTTTGTTTTTTTTAACTAGCTTATTGACTCTCCTCTGTTTATATACTTTTTCTGGCTATTCTCAGCCAACCTGCACCTTTCAGGTACATTTTCTGCTATTTATGACACCCCACTCACCCCCTCCCCTTCTCTAACATCAGTTGTTTTAAGTGGTAAACTCTATCAGAGTGATATGTATTGCTTTAGACCTGAGGAAGCGAGGAACACTCTCGAAAGCTTGTCTTGAAATATTATGTTAGTCCAATAAAAAAGGTATCATTACATACTGCAATACTCTGGTATTTTGGCAGTATATATATTTGAATGCTTTCCTATGGACTGGCTGAATGCGCACGCGGCTCTTGTATGCGCATTCAGCTAAGGACGTCAGAAGAGGGAGGAGAGTCCCCAGCGCCGAGGGAGCCCGGCGCTGGAGAATGGTAAGGGATTAACCCTTTCCTCCCCCTTCTGCACCACGGGAGTGGGACCCTGAGGGTGGGGGCACCCTCAGGGCACTATAGTGACAGGAAAACGAGTATGTTTTCCTGGCACTAGAGTGGTCCTTTAAGCAAATCTTATAAAGTGAAATGTGTGGTAGTTATCCCATGAGTTGTAAATATCATATATTGAATTCCAATATAGGTACTAATGGAGTTTCATTAATTGTACTAAAATGTCAATTGCCATTTTTTTAAGGTACCAAACAAGATGACCAAAATCTCATTCTACAGTGGGAGGATCAACGTGGACTAGCATTCACCAAAGAAGGAATGACATATAAAAATCGATCACTACTTATTCCAAAGACTGGTGATTATTTTGTGTATTCTCAAGTTTCCTTTCGAGCTAGTGACTCTAGCCATAAAAATAAAAAATTGGAATACGTAACACTGCAAATCACAAGGGTAAATAACAATTATCCAGAGCCAGAATGTCTTCTTAGTGGAGCTATATCAATTGACAAAGAAAGAGAGGAATGCCAGACCATCTATTTGGGAGCTCTTCTATCTATGAAAGTAGGAGACATGGTATCAGTGAAAGTAAATGATATCAAACTAGTTGATGTCACTGTGGACCACAAAACATTCTTTGGTGCATTCCTGTCATGAATGCAGCTAAAATCCTAACTTGTTCGCTGAATGGATGCCATACAATCAGACTATACATTCAAAAATGAACTTCCAGATATTAGTTTAAGCAGACTGTGATTGTCTATTGTTGCGACTTAGATGATGATCAGATCACATTTTATGACCAATTTGTGCAGAAATCCATATCATTCCAAAGGGTTCACATACTTTTTCTTGCAACTGTATGCTGTTATCCTAACTTAAATATTGGCACATCTCATGTTTGCACAGGGACCATTCTTAAAAAGCAAGAGAGCGTCTACATCAAGAAAATGTTAGTGTGAAACATTAAACAGATTCTTCTCATCTTATAAAGCTGCTTTTAATGAAAAATATAACTAATATATATGAGCATTTAAAAAAAACAAAAACATTTATTTGTAAATTCAAAATTTAGTTCATAAAGCCTCGCTTATATTTATTTAGACTGTGGGAATGAGTGCCTGCTCATACATGAACAAATTTCTCTACCAGGAACCCATTCCACCAACAATACAATATCTCCAAATGTTCTTAAAATCACAGCCTCCCTCTAACGTGCAATTAATAAACTAATCTTCAAATATCATACCATTCCTACAGTCAGGGAGGGGGGAAATTGAATGTTACCTCTTAATTGCCTCTTTGCATTGTATTAGAATTGCACTAATTGCTATAAAATCTTTTAAATACCATATTTTAGACTGTACCGACTATGTAGCCATTATGATCAAATGCAGACATTTTTCCATTTGGTTGCTATTTTTAGTAAGCTGTACTGCTATTAATACCATTATGGTCCTTACTGATACCTGTAAGTATATGGGTATATAAATTTTTATTTATAAACAATATGTAAAAAAATAAATAAATAAAATTTGCTTTTATACTAATTTCAGACTGTGTTAAATATTGCAAGGTAAGAGATACAATGGACTCCTTCAATATTTATATACAGGAGGAACAAATACATGAAAAATAAAAATTGTGTACATTTAATTTATTGTGTTTGTACATTACATGATCTTTTCTAATGCACTTACATGTTAGCTATTCATCCAAAATAAGCTTAACTGTGAAGGAGTTAAAGGCACCAAAACATCTTTATGAAGCAGTTTGGGTGTATAGACCATGCCCCTGTAGTCTCACTGTTTAAAGGGATACTGTAGGCACCCAGACAACTTCAGCTAATTGAAATAGTCTAGGTGCACTGTCCCTTTTGCACTTAGGGCTGCAATGTTAAACATGGCAGTTCCATAGAAACAAGTCTGCTCACACTGGCTGTCTACCAAACAACCACTAGAGGGCTTCCTGAATTGAAGTTGACCGGTATCTGATGCTGGACGTCCTCACGCTCTGCATAAGGACATTCAGCGTCCCCCATAGGTAAGCATGGATTTAATTAGCTCCAGTGTCTCGCGAACCATCAGAGGGGGGGAGCATCGACCCAGCGCAGAGGGACATCGGCACTGGGATAAGGTAAGTAAATAAAGGGTTAAAAACCTTTTATTTAACTGGGCTGGGGAGGGGCATGAGGGAGGGGGGAGGCAGAGGGAGCTATTGTGCCAAGAATACAGCTCTGTACTCAAAGCACTATAGTATCCCTTTAATCCTCTGCCATTTACACAGTATATAGATCTAAAAATCAAAAACACATATTAAAACACAAAATGCCAGTAACAAGTTGCCAAATAAAGTTAATTTGTATTTATTTATTTTTTTCAGTTTTTATTATAAAGACATGTCAGGATACTTGAAAATAACTGTCACCTGATTATAATATAATGAAATAGAGAAACAAATGTCTTTCAAATCTACATTAATATTATCTATTTGCCTAGGAGTAAGCAATAATTGCTTGGCCACAAAGATGGCAAATTACTTCAGACAAATTAAAGTGGAATTGTCACTGTGTCACTGTCACTATGAATTGTATGTGCAGTTTAACTAGTAAAGTCTTTTTCTGTACTAATGAAGAAAGATATTTGTAACATAATTTTTTTTTAAAGTTACTCTTGCTTTTTTATACATGATTAATAACCCAGATAAAAACCAGTATGTGTTTTCTTGATATATCAATCCTACTTCAATCATAAATCATTTTCAGAAATGTATGATGTATTTCAAACTCCCAGGAATGTGTGGAAGCATGGAAAATTAGTCATTTGGCTGAAATTCAGATACCCTTTAGTCACATTTGACTGAATAACATGAAGTTTAGTTATCACTAAAGTGATATTCCAAAGTGAATTCAAAGCAAATTTCTAATTTATAGGAACACTCCAGGCAGCTAAACAAGTTAAGCTTAATTTAAAGTTCAGAAGCTCAAATACATTTGGTTAGTTTCTTTTCTCTCAGTTCTGTGTAGTTTTCCTGCAGTGCTGTAAAATGTTTTGCTGTTTTCTGCAGTGTAACACAGCCTCCTTTGCCACCTCCCTCTCAATTTAAACATATTCATGATTCCCAGTTTCTGAAAGAAGCGTACCTTTTTCAGCCAAGAAAATAGAGACGTCTTCTGTAGTGTAAGGAATGCTCACAGCATAGACTGTACAAGAGAGAAAAGGCTAGAGTAGAGCTTTGAATTCACTTTGAATTCTCGCTTTAGTGCATAACCCTTACAGTAACATTTATATTACAAAAATTAATAACTCATTATTTAATGAATTCAAAACTACACACATCTCAGTACATAGTAGTATAGGCAGGGAAAAAGAATAAAGTCTATCAAATTCAGCTTCTCAAAACTGCTTGCAAATTATTTCTTACACATTTATTTTTATTATTTATGACTATATATAATATTTCTACATAGTGTTTATCAACGTAGATATAGGTTTTATATTAAAACAAGTGAAAATCTGCAATATATATGTTGTATCCTGTTTATTCATTATGAGTAAAATATTTTTTTAATATTGTCATAAATTTGGAACTTGTAAATAGTGATTATGTATTTTTCTTGGTCAGGAACGTGAATAGTTGGCTGTTTTAAGGCATTAAAATGCTAAATTAAAATTCATAATGATCAATTTGTCACCTTGCAAGGATTTTTAAACTAGATCAATAGATTTATTTCAAAAGGCAACTACCTAAAAACTAGAAAAGGGGTAGGCAACCTTTAGCTCTCCAGAGATTACATCTCTTATAATACTCTTAGAGGCATAATGCTTACAAAGCATCAGGAGAGATGTCCACAATATCTGGAGTGCCAAAGGTTGCCTACCTCTGATACTAGAGCATTGTTGGGGACCAGTCATGGCATCTCCTGCAACTTGCATGAGGGGCCATACATACTGGGAGCACTCTGACAGTAGTAACCAAGATAGGATTTTACACAGGGTATACGTTAAAACCCATTTGGGTTTCCTGTGTACCATGCCATGTGCATGGAGACCATGTTAATGCATTTATTTATATCTAATGATTAAGTGTTTCTTTGAATCCCAAGTTATAAAGCCCACTCAAGGTTAAGTCTTGAGACTGGACAATCACAATTAAATAAAGAGAAATACAACCTAAAGAGTGAAAAATCAACATTCTGTGACATTGCCTTTCTGTCTTCTGTTATTGACTTGGGCTACTCTTATTTTTCAACAATCTTTATTCAGAGATTTTACCATTTCTACAGTTAAAAATAAATCAGACAAATTAGATTGTAGCCTTAAGCCAATGCACTGGGGCCATTCTTAACATTATTAGACCATATTGTTGATGGTAGTGCCTCACATATTATGGCATATATTATCGCACAATCCTCCTCTCTAACTGCATAATATCATACTAGTTATGAACTAAATGTAATATAAGTAATAGGCATTGACCATGTAGGCAAGATCCAGAATACTGTAGGTCCCCCATATAGTACTCATTATGAACTAACAGTAATACAAGTAATATGCATAGACTATGTAGGCAAGACCCAGAATATTGTAGGTCCCTCCGCCTCCCTCCACACTAGGTGCAAGTAAACTGTAATGATGCTAAACCAAAGTTGAGGAACAGTATTCTCATCACCTATTATATTTGGTACAGTAGAGTTAAATTGTGAGAGAGATGTTTTTTAAGATCAAGTTTTCATGTTAGACCTCAAGCAGAACCTGTCACAATGGCTGCCTCCCTCAACTCCAGTTTTCGTTCCAATGAGAAAGAGTCACCTTATGTGTGAATAGTCACATAGTTATGACTCCCCAGCTCCGTCCTGTTCTCTCTGGGTTTCTTTTCTGCATCCCCCTTGTAACGGACCGTTTCAGCACACAAGGGGTTAAAAACCATTTAGGCGATCGTCCCCCTTTCCAGAGATGCAGGCACAGCTACTGCAGAACACCAAACTCCCGAACTGCATATAAGGGAATGCTCCAAACACCCGAACTGCATACAAGGGAATGCTCCAAACACTCGAACTGCATACAAGGGAATGCTCCAAACACCCGAACTGCATACAAGGGAATGCTCCAAACACCCGAACTGGAACCTCACGAATAGCTGCTAGCAGACGAACAGGAAAAGCACCCAAGCGGCTTACACTCCTGGCAATCAGTCTCTATCAGCATACAGTAAATCCCCCCAAAGACGAGACAGAGCTCCGTGTTGAGGGTCAAGCAGTGGTCTGTTTAATGAGGGCTACCTGCCCAGTATTTATGCAGGTCTCCCACCTGGTGGACACTCCCCTAGGGGACCAAATGGGAGACTGTGACAAAAGACAGACAAGTAGACAAATAGGACACACAGTCACATTATATTCCCACAATGCATCCTGGCTTCCTCCCCTCTGCCTTGGAGATAATTGAGAAGTAATTCAATTATCTCCCAAGACAAAGGCAAATCGCCATTATGCACGTGGGGATACTAAAACACGAATTACTGTTAAAATACACTATGTAAGACACATTACAATAAACCTATACATTTAACATGTCCCCAGATAGCTCAGGTCTGAGCGCACATTATTAAGCGAATGGCGCTCAGACCACACGAATACAGTTTAATCACCATGGAGCTAAAGTCTTTCCACAGTCAGTTCTCATATGAATGAGCTCCATGGGATTCCTATCTGGTGTATAACATAGACAAGTAAAACTACCGAACACCGGCCGTTCGTGTACTTCCACCGAACAAGAAGGCAGGTCGGCGGCTTCAGCGGTGTTCGCGCAAAACTGTGTCTGATTTTAGTTCCATGAATTAAGCGTCAAACACCGCTGTGCATTCGCATGTTTAAAATGTCCGCGACCTCGTGTTCGGGATACGAATGGCGGCCACCCAGCATTCGTCAATTAAGCTGCGGTTAACCGCAGCTTCAGGGAGGTTAATTGCCGGCACACTCCAGCTCCCAGGTGGTCTATTCATTCGTACGGTTGTTCGGTAGATTGAATCTACCGAACACCCGGCAGAAAAGCATGAATAAAGCTTTTCTGCGGGCGAAACAAAGTCTTTTAATATGGGGGCCATAGTCCAAAGGCAGCAGGCGAGCAACCAGGCTTTTCCAATGTAATGTGGCGAGATTGGTCTCGTCACACCCCTCACCTAAATATATTATTTTCTGTTTTTGTTAAGAATTTGTTTATATTCATACTCTGATAATTTTATAACATAATATTATTTAAAGTAGTTTTGGATACCTACTGTAATGGAACTCCCCGTACTCCAACCGAGTACCTTCCGTTGATGGACGCTTCCTAGCTTGTGCTGAGGACCACAAGCACCGCACCGGACACCACAACCACCGCAGACTCCACAACCGCCGTAGCTTAACTGGAGTCTCGCCGTCTTCTGTCCACCCTGGATCAGCCTCTGTCGCTCAGGAGAGCGTATCAGGAACCAGCTCTTACAAGAGCTAAGTGATTAAAGTTCAAGGGAGTATGCAGAGCATAGCAATCCCCAGTGTGATTTATAGCAGTTCCCTCCAATAACGAGACGAGGCTACATATTGAGGGTCAAGAAGATCCCTACTTTACTTGGCACCAAAGGGCCTTCTTTTATGCAGGTTTTACACATACAGGACCGCCCACAGGGTTTTACAGAACAACCAATAAACGTAGTATACAGTACAAACACTCCTATCAATTACACACAAACCCTCCCCTCTGCCTGTGATATAATTACTGAACACAATGGGTTAAAGTAATTATCACAGGCAGGAAAAATATACTTTTTACACATACACTAACTTTAAAAATATACATTCAATCTTCATAAAAATTACATTCAAAGTCAGCACACTTTACTTACAAACATTTCCAAAATTCAGCCAATTCCATCCAGGGGTTAAAAGGTTAGCTGGAAGTCCTTTATGACCAACCACAAGCACATTTTCCTGCCCAAAACAGTTCCATAGATTTGGGCTGTGCGGTCGTTAAATTTCACACTGAAAAAATGACTAAGTCCCATTCGAACGTGCATTCAAATCTTCGAACGGGACTTAGTCTCTGTGGCTGAAAACTCAGTGAAGGAGAAGGTAAGGGTCAGCGGTGTTCATTGAAATGTGTAGCCGATTTCAGTTCCATGGATTTGGCTACACATACCGCTGACCTTGTTCGAATGAACAAAGATGGCCGCCGCCACGTGTTCGTTTGTCGAATGGCGGCTACTTCGACTGTATCCGAGGTGCCAATTTAAAATTGCAACACTGCTCCAAGGGCCAGAAACAGCATTATAAAAATCCATTATGCCCAAATACAGTTCTTAAAGGGTCAGTAACAGTATAATATATGTCCATAAGCCCCAACTCAGTTCCTTAAAGGGCAATACATCCCAGGGGCCATAGTCACATGGCAGGAGGCTGGCAAACAGGCCCCTCCAAAAACCAGTGGCGAGGTCACTTTCGCCACACCTACCTTCCTCCTCTCCCCTACCTTATAAGTTAACATGTCATCCTGTGGGATATTTGCTAAAAACGCAAAGACTTCAAATTACATTTTGTTTTAAACTGTATTGCCAAAAATGTGCCTCCATTTCATGTCTGGCATGACAAGAATGTTTACATTTCCTCAATTGTCTCCACAATATTTTAATTTACAGTATTCAAAATAAAAGTTAAGTGGAGCAAAATTAGAGAAATAAAAAAAGAAATATAGAGACAGTTTACAGCTTAAATGCAGTAAAGTTAAAGGACCACTCTAGGCACCCAGACCACTTCAGCTTAATGAAGTGGTCTGGGTGCCAGGTCCCTCTAGGGTTAACCTATTTTTTTATAAACATAGCAGTTTCAGAGAAGCTGCTATCTTTATAAATGGGCTAATCCTTCCCCCAAAGCCTCTAGTGGCTGTCTCATTGACAGCCGCTAGAGGCGCTTGCGTGATTCTCACTGTGAAAATCACAGTGAGAGCACGCAAGCGTCCATAGGAAAGCATTAATAATGCTTTCCTGTGCGACCGGCTGATTGCGCGCGCAGCTCTTGCCGCGCGTGCGCATTCAGCCGACGGGGAGGAGAGGAGGAGGATCGGAGGAGGAGAGCTCCCCGTCCAGCGCTGGAAAAAGGTAAGTTTTACCCATTTTCCCCTTTCCAGTGCCCGGCGGGAGGGGGACCCTGAGGGTGGGGGCACCCTCAGGGCACTATAGTGCCAGGAAAATGAGTATGTTTTCCTGGCACTATAGTGGTCCTTTAAATGGGTATAGAGGAATAGGGAACCTATTAACATAGGCGTGTGCAGCCTATTGCATTAGGGTGTGCACCCTAAAGCACAAGCACACGTCACATATATATATGTATGTATGTATATATATATGTGTGTGTGTGTGCTGTGTGAGGGTGCTGTTAGTGTGATGTGTGT